AAAATTAGTTCTAAAGAAGATAGCAAACCAACCCTGAAGTACTCCCAGTTTGCTCTAGAATCTTGCATGTTTTGGATGTTATATGAGTCCTATTTGCCCCAGTTAATTTAACTTTTTTCTGCCTGTCTTGTGGACTGGCTGGCTCTTTTAGAACTCTGTCAAAAAGGTGCATGGAATATAACTTGTAAAACCTCCCACAGCTGAAAGTATATATGTGTATATGTTTAAATCAAATCTAGAAAGCTTCCAATAGAGCTGCATAGTCATAGTATTTATTGAAGAATCATAACTGTAAACATGAGAATAACTTACGGATTCTAGTTTAGTTCTTTTGTAACTGTAGATATCTATATTTGCTGCTGTAATATAAGAATAATTTTTAAATGTCATCTTGAAACAGAAACATGTATTTCAAGCACTCATGCAAAGGTAACTGAACAATACTTTTTAAATGTGTACATTATTTTCTCCGTAAGAATTGTAAACATTAAACTAAACATATTAACTATAATGGAATTGATTAATGATTTATAAGCAAGCTGGTTTGAACAGACATTATACACATGCTTTTCTATACTACAGAATGCCATTACACTTGTTAAATTCTCTTGTCTAGCCTGAATTTACATTCCATGCTGACAACATGGTATATGTATTGTTATAAAAATAAGTGACCATGTCAAAAAAAAAAAAAGAAAAGAAAAACACAGAATATGGCAAATAAAAATCCCACAGAAGTGTGAGGCAGCCAGGCAAAGTGACTTACGCCTGTAATCCCAACACTTTGCCAGGTCGAGGCAGGCAGATCACTTGAGCTCAGGAGTTCAAGTCCAGTGTGGCTAGCATGGTGAAACCCTGTCTCTACTAAAAATACAAAAGTTCGCCGGATGTGGTGGTGCACGCCTGTAGTCCCAGCTACTTGGGAGCCTGAGGCAGGAGGATAGCTTGAACCTGGGAGGCAGAGGTTCAGTGGGCTACTTCACTCCAGCCTGGGCAACAAGAGCGAGACTCTGTCTCAAAACAAAACAAAACAAAATAAAACAAAACAAAACAACAACAAAAGAATGAGGCAAAGAACATGCCCAGGAGAAAAGATGTGCCAGGTTGCCAGATATGCAGCAAGGTTAGGGGATGAACAGTCAGATTGGAGAAGGTCAGCAGTCTCCAGCAGTGATGTCTCCAAGAAGATGAAATGGAGAGAATTCTCTGCTATATCTAGATATTCTGAGAGGAAATTTAAACAACTAGGGGAAGAATTTGAGGTAGATTTTCTGAGAAATACATAGAAAATAAATGATTTTTAAAAACAAGATTATTAATTCCAGGAAAAATAAAAATTTGTGCAGGAAGAAACGCAAGGCCTCCCTGGGGAGGACAGACGCAAGGAAGAAGCCGGGCAGGGAATTCCAGGGTCCCAGGTATTCAGAATATAGTCTGTTCCTGGGCAAGTGTACTTTGCATGGGCAAATCCCCTCAGACCCCTCGCCCTGTGGGGAGGGCTGCAGCTGGAGGAAGGCCGGAGATGTGAAAGTAAATGCCAGAAGAAACAGCTATAAGAGGTGAAAACGTTGCCTCTAGAGAGGGGAAGACGATGGGGGCAGGGCTCTGCTGTTTGTCTAACAAATCTGGTACAATTATTTGATTCTATATGTGTGTACATGTTCTAAGAAATATTTCATTAAAGAAAATAACATTTTAAAAATAAAACTGCAATTCATAAAAGTTCACGGAACCTCTGGACCACTTCTGCTATACTTAGAGATCTCAATAATAGTTTGAAAATCTCCCCATCTGCGCGGGCGTCGCGGCAGTCTCCGGGGGAAGACGGGAGAAGTCGAGAGGTGGCGGGAGTCCGTCCCCCTCCCCCTGCCCGCCCCCTCCGTTACCCTCTCTGGGGCGCCAGTCCCCGCACCCCCACAAAAAAGTCTGAAAACCGCAGGACCCAGCCTGGGCAGTATAGGGAGACCTCCTCTCCAAAAAATTACAAAATTAGCTGGGCTTGGTGGCACACGCCTGTAGTCCCAGCTACTCGGAGGCTGAGGGGGGAGGACCAGTTGAGACCAGGAGGCTGAGGCTGCAGTGAGCCCTGATTGTGCCGCTGCACTCCAGCCTGGGTGACAGATCAATTCGCTGCCTCAAATAAGAAAACCGCAGAGCTGGGCCTTCATTTGAGGCCATGTGGGTATCGTTTTGATTAAATCATAAAGCAGTTTTCTCTCTACAGCAGCCCACAAGGGTGAATCCCATTTCCTTTTCCTCCCAGGTGTCACCTCTAACTCAGGACTTCTCCGTGTCAGGAGTTTTTCTACCTCTCCCGAGTTATCTGGATCTCAGGAACCTAGCACAGCATCACGCGAGTCTTGGCTCAGGTTGAGGGGGGAATAAAGGGAACAGGACGCCCCTTTTGCGGGGCTTTGCAGGCTGGCGGTCAGCGCCTCTCTGCACCCGTGTGCCTGTGGCCCGTCACTCTCCAGCCCCAAGGCCTTCAGCGCATTCACCGCACAGCTCCAGGTTACAGTTTCCTCGGCCGCACAGCACAGCATGTACCTCACATTTTTAACTTCTATCAAAGAGTGGGCCCTGCTCTCATGAGTTCGGCGCTCAGTGGGAGCCAGGTCCCAAAAGTGAACTTCAGGGTCACGCGAGAAGCACTTGTACGCCCCACAAGGGCATGATTTCGGGGATTTGTCTGCTTTTTTTTTTTCCAAGCTGCTGTGTGCTCAGTCCCTGAGACAGTCCCTGCCACCTCACAGGTGCTCAACAAATAGTTCTGGAGTTAATTAACTTAAAAGTACTGTAAAAGACCTACAGCAAATTAAATTCGTTGTGCAACGCAAAGGCACCCTACACACGGCGTGAACGCTTGGGCTCCCGGAGCGACGGCAAAGCCAGGACGCAGGCAGCGGGGAGAGGCAGAGGCGCCGGCCCCTGACCGTCAGTCAGAGGCGGGAGCAGGCGTGCCCCGCCCCCCGGGGGGCGGACCTGGAACTCGGCGGCGCGGGGGCGGGGCCTGGTTCTCCGTGCCGGGGGGCGGGGCCGGGACCGAACACACCGGGCCGGTTGGGGGCCCCGCTCGCCGGCGGGAGCCACCCGAGCCCCGGCCACGAAGGGGTGCGACCCCCTGCCGACCCCGCCCTCCCGGCTGCAGCCCGGCCAATCAGAGCAGCTCTTACTGGCGGGTGGGCTGAGCCGGCCCAGCTGCTCGGAGGCTCTGGCATGGTAACATCCCCGCGCGGGGGTGGAGGGGCTCGGGGCGGTCCCACAGCGCCCCCTGCGGCCTGGGCCGTGGCCGAGGGGGCGGGGAGGCCACTGGGGATAGCTGGGACCCCGGGGAGGGCATGGGGGGCCAAGGGTGAGGGAAGAGAGCCCGGGAGGGGGAATGGGGGCGGGGACTGGGGGCGAAGGGGCGGGGGAGGCCATGATGGAGCCTGGCCGGGGGCGAAAGGGGCGAGAGTGGCGGGACGGGGTGAGGAGTGGGAAGGGGAGAGGTGGGGGTGGGTTCGCGGAGAAAGATCTGGAAAGAAGAGGGGGCGGAGATGAGGGGACCAGGGTACAGGTGGGGACCAGTTTCCCCTCCTGGGATATTTGGCGTGCGACATGCCCCTCCCCCAGCCCCAGCGCCCGTTTCCTTTGGAAGCCTGGGTGCTCCTCAGACCACTTGGGACTCCTTGCTTCACCTTCCCGCATTTGCAAGAGCTTGTCTCCTGAGGCGAAGAGGGGGCCTCTGAGGAAAGGGGCTCCCAGCCCTGGCCATCAACAAACTAACGACTCTGTGTGACCTTGGGCAAGTCATTACCTTTCTTTGGGCCTTAGATTTCCCATCAATTTTTTTAAAAAGGAAATGCATGAAAATTAAATCCCAGATCTCTTCCAGGGTCTTAATGAAGAGGTTTTTGAGGAGGAAGTTTAGGAGAATGGGTTTGGTAGGGAAGCAAAGGAAAGGATGAAGATGGAGGCGAGGCCTTGGGCTGGGGCGGGAGAAATCCCCACGGGTGCGGGGGGGATGGTAGACAGAAGGCCTGCCGGGCTGGGGCGGGCTAGCCATATCCTGTTGGAGGGATGGAAGAACTCTAAGGAGAGGAGGAGGTTGAAACCTAACTCCGCAATGATGGAGACCCAAAGTACCATTCGCTTCTTCAGAGGGAGAGTGATGAGATGGCAGGATCAGAAAGAAGTAACAGGGGCCGGGCGCGGTGGCTCATACCTATAATCCCGGCACTTTGGGAGGCCAAGGTGGGCGGATCACCTGAGGTTGGGAGTTTGAGACCAGCCTGACCAACATGGAGAAACCCCTTCTCTACTAAAAATACAAAATGAGCCGGGCGTGGTGGCACATGCCTGTAATCCCAGCAACTTTGGAGGCTGAGGCGGAAGAATCGCTTGAACCCGGGAGGCAGAGGTTGCGGTGAGCTGAGATCGCGCCATTGCACTCCAGTCTGGGCAGCAAGAGCGAAGCTCTGTCTGGGGGGGGGGAAAAACAACAGGAATACTTTCTAATAAGGCAGATCTTTGGGGAGCAAGAGGAAGAGTAGGGCTGGTCCAGGAAAGTTGGAAACTAGGATGGTCTGAAACGGAAGGGCAGATGCTGTTTGGGGCAGCTGAAGAAGGACCGCAGGTAGATCACAGGATAACCAGCTGGTCGCTCAGCCTTTTTTTGTGATGATGGCTGCCACTTTCTGAGAGATGTGCCTCCCAGCCTTCATCTTCCAACACATATCACTTCAGGGAGTGGGATTGAGTCAGACCAAGTGGACCTTGGGAACACCTGGCTCGCTGAGGATTTCTGGATTGTATAAGGATTGGGGTTAAAAAAGAAAAAAGGAAAATGTATCTCAATGTAAGACGTATCATCTGTGGCGCCATCATCCTTGCTGGGAGGCAGCTTTGTGAACTGGTTGAAAGCACAGGCTTTGGGGTCAGACTGCTTGGATTCCAAACCTGCCTCTCCCATTTAATGTCTTGGAACCTTGGTCAGGTTACTTAATCTCTGAACCTCATTTTCTTTATCTGTAAAATGGGAGTAATAACCTCTAAGATGGTTGCCAGGATTAAATGAGTGTTTGGCACAGTGTCTGGCTCATAATAAGTGCTCAGTAAATATTAGCTATTAGCTATTATTGTTCCCTTTTTCTGTTCTTTTCCTTTTGTCTCTCCATTCTTGTCCTTTTCTCCTTTTGTTCTTCTGAGTGCTCAGTTCTGAGATGCCCTTTAGATGTGAAGTCTCAGAAATGTTGATTGCATCTTTGGTGGTGGGGAAGGGGTGGCCCCTCACTGGCCCCGGTGAACATATGATCAGATGATCAAGTGTCTCTTCATCATCTCTCAGCCCACAAATGTGTTTTTGTTCCAGGGAAGACACGGGATCTGCTTCTCTTTCAGCAACCATTTCTATATCCTTCCCTGTCACTAGTTATTTCTTCATATTCTCACACAGAAATAAAATAAGACCCAAAGTTTTATGGCACCGCAGCAGGTAGGAGAGGAACGGGGTGTTGCAGGAAAGTAGGGACGCAACACTGGAAGCTCAGGAAAGGAAGGCCTTTGGAAGTTCCATAGTAGTTTATGTTTATTCCATTGTTCTGTCCTCTGGGGAACTGTCCAGAATAGGCCAGTGTCTGAATCCTGGCCAGAGGTCTTCATCCCAAGTTGAAGATGACTGTATACCGTTAGCTTTATTAGGTTTTCCCATGCCAACATTTCATTCCAGTTTCTTTTTTCCAAGCCACAAAGACCTCTGTCAAGCTACCTCTCTCTGTCACAGCCTATAGTCAGATAATTTATACAGATGTACATACACACACGTGTACTCGCTGTTTTCAAAATGCATTTTAGGATATTCTAGTATGCAAAAATCTAATAAGGTTAGAGATGAGACTGCATTTGATCACAGCACTTTGTGTGCAGGGCCCTGACTAAACACTTGGGGGAGGTATAAAAGGAGAAAACTCAATCCCTGAATGTAGGGAAATCCCCACGTGAGTGGGAGACAAGCAGTCCCACATGAAACACCCAGCAAACATTCACAGAGTAGCATGTCACTCTGCAAAGTAGTGCATCATTTATCCTGAAGGGACACAGGTAGGAGTGTGTGTATGTGTGTGGGATAGTCATAAGGGTAACCTGGAGGAGGTGAATATTGGATCATCTTGAACAAAGCATGAGACTGTAGAATAAAAGAAATGTGTTTCACCTGAGGGTAATCTAACAATTCTGTGCAAAAAGAGGAGGAAGGAAGCCATTGAGTCAGGATGAGCAAAGGAGAGTGTGGGGTGGCCTTCGTTGCAAGGCTTTGACTGTTAGATGAAAGATTTTGTAGGGTAGGCAATTGGGAACCCTGTAAGTTATCAATAACATGTTGAGTCGTTGGTGATTTAACCACTTAGGTTGCAGGGGATATACTAGATTGCAAACAGACCTGCTTCATGTGGTAGGAGTTTTTTTTGTTTTGTTTTGTTTTGTTTTTTTGAGATGGAGTCTCGCTCTGTCGCCCAGGCTGGAGTGCAGTGGCCGGACCTCAGCTCACTGCAAGCTCCGCCTCCCGGGCTCACGCCATTCTCCTGCCTCAGCCTCCTGACTAGCTGGGACTACAGGCGCCCGCCACCTCGCCCAGCTAGTTTTTTGTATTTTTTAGTAGAGACGGGGTTTCACCGGGTTAGCCAGGATGGTCTCGATCTTCTGACCTTGTGATCCGCCCGTCTCGGCCTCCCAAAGTGCTGGGATTACAGGCTTGAGCCACCGCGCCCGGCCAGGAGTTTTGCTTTTAAGGGAGTAGGGCCATAGGGCAGATTGGATCCATTCCTGGTTCTGTCCCTAACCAGCAGTGGCTCCTTGGACAGATTATTCCCTGAAAAAGGGGGATACCTGGGGTGACTGCCAGGGTCTCCTCCAGTTCTGACATTCTATGTTCCCTGAATAACTACTAGACCTAACTTACCAGTGGCCCCCTACTGTTTTGTAGGACTTGCCAAGACCATTTAGTCATTAAATTAACAAATATTTATTAGCACCTACTTAGAGGGTGGTAAGGAAAACACAGTGGGAACTGGATATGAGGTGAGCAAAAACAGATGAAGTCCCTGCCCTTCAGTGTTTTCAGTCTAGTAGGGGCCACGGATATTATATTTCAATAATTCTGAGACTCATATTTGAACATTTGTCAAGTCAGGGTGCATCTTTAAATTGACAGGATATTATAATTTGATTGGCAGCATTTGTTTTTTATTCATGCAAATTAGAATAATAATATAATCAGGATTGTACAAATAACTATAAAATCTTAGTGGATACTTGCTGAAGGAGAAGGTATATGGTGTTGTACAAGTATATAAAAGAGGGCTCTGACTAGTTCAGGAGTTGGGAAAAGCTTTCATGAAGAAATGATTGGTAGATGTGAAGTGTATGTAGGCAAGGTGTGTGGGGTCGGCAGGGCCAACCCGGTTTTCTCAGGCAAAGGTGGATGCCTGAGGTGGGAGAGCTGAGAGAAGGTGAGTAGGGCTGGAGCTGAGACCCAGGAGCTCAGCATGGGGGAGGCTGGCAATGTAGCTGGGTAGCAGACCCCCTCATAGCCTCACTGGGCAGGGGGTTTACTAGTTACCCTAAGAGCAGTGGGAAGCCATTGAAGAGTTTTGAGCAGGGGGCTAACAGTCGGAGGTGCACTTTGAAGAGCTTGTTATGGCTGCTGATTGGAGTGGATGTGGGGAAAACAGTTGAGAGGCCACTGCAATTAGATGAAAAAAGATGGTGGCTTGGACAAGATGGGGGTGGAAAAGGAAATGGAGAGAAATGGATAGATTCAAGAAATCTTGAGGAGGTAAAGTTAACAAGACTTGGTGATTTATTGGCAAGGAAGAAGGAGTTGTAGAGAGTGACTCATGGGTTTCCATTTGGACAACTGATTGGTGCGGTGCCAGTCTCTGAGACAGGCTTCCCTGGAGCCTGGTAGGACCCAAAGATGTTAGAGAGGCTCCTGAGGCAGCTTGAGATAGGAAAGTGTGACACAGAAAATTGTATTTCCACCACTATTGATTAGTTTCTGACTTCCCATGCTGAGGAAAGCGTCAGGGGCAAGAGCAGGTCTGAATACAGAACTAAAGCAGTTGAGCACTTAGAAAAGGTGAGTCACATTGGAGTAGTTTAGCTCATACCCTTTTCTTCTTAGGACAAGGTGAAGGATAGTTTTTTTGGTTGTTGTTTTGTTTTTTTGAAAGAGTCTCACTCTGTCACCCAGGCTGGAGTGCAGTGGTGCAATCTCAGCTCAGTGCAACCTCCACCTCCCGGGTTCAAGCAATTCTCGTGCCTCAGCCTCCCCAGTAGCTGAGACTACAGGCATGTGCGACCACACCTGGCTAATTTTTGTATTTTTAGTAGAGGTTTCACCATGTTGGCCAAGCTGGTCTCGAACTCCTGACCTCAGGTGATCCGCCTGCTTGGGCTCCCAAACTGTTGGTATTACAGGTGTGAGCCACCGCACCAGGCCAGGAACAGATTTTTTTTTTTTTTTTGAGATGAAACCTCGCTCTGTCATCCAGGCTGGAGTTGGAGTGCAGTGGCACGATCTCGGCTCACTGCAAGCTCTGCCTCCCGGGTTCACGCCATTCTCCCACCTCTCCCGAGTAGCTGGGGCTACAGGCGCCTGCCACCATGCCTGGCTAATTTTGTTTTGGTATTTTTAGTAGAGATGGGGTTTCACCATGTTAGCCAGGATGGCCTCGATCTCCTGACCTCGTCATCTGCCCGCCTTTGCCTCCCAAAGTGCTGGGATTACAGGCGTGAGCCTCCGCATCTGGCCAGGAACAGATATTTTAAAGGCAGACATGAGAGGGCATTTTTAAATGCTGAGCATTCTCAGCATAGGGGAAATTGGCAGCAGTGAGGTACCTTCTGTTTAGCCAGATACCACCTTTCCCTGGAATTCCTCCCTATCACCCACTAACTTTCAGGCAAAGAGGCAGAAGGGCTGGGCCCTTTAGCTCCATCTCCAAGCCTCGGTTCACTTACATGCGTTTGTTTGTTTGTTTGTTTTTGAATAGGCAATACAGTCATATGGCTGCGTATTCAAAAGATACAAAAGCCATACAGGGAAAAGTCTCCCCACCTCTGTCCCTTTCTACCATTTCTTGTGTGTCATCTTTTGTCTCTGATTTTTATACAAATGATAAAAGTTTGCTGCACCTTGCTTTTTTTCCCACTTGTTAATATATCTTAGAGATCATATTGAGACAACAAGCTGCTTCATTCTTGTTTATAATTGTTTAGTATTGTATTTTATGTATGTGTATAATTTCATAGCCCTTTACTGGTGGCTATTCATGTTGATTCCAATCTTTTGTTTTTACAAATAATACTGAAATGAAAACCTTAAACATACAGCATTTTGGCCATGTAGGGCTATGCCTATAAAATGAATTTTTAGAATTAGAAGGTTCTATATAGAGGTTTGTTCCATTTGTTCTTCATTCATTCAATATTTGCTGAATACCTATTATGTGCCAGATGCTGGTAGGTACCAGGAATCCAGCTTCCAACAAGTCAGATATGATCCGTGTCTTCATGGAATGTTATTACACTCTTGTTGGGGAAAACATATCCAGGCAAACATAATAATTACAAAATTATATACATAAGGAAACTAAAAAGGGGATCAGATAGAGAAATAGGAAGGAGCTATGTTAAACAGAGTCAGGAAGTCGTCTTAAAATAAGTGATACTTAAGCTGAGAACTAAAGAATGGGATGCGGACAGCCATTCGGGGTAGGACAGGGCAACCTAAGCTGTTCAAAGCCTACATCCACAGGGAGATAATTCAGGATTTGTAGAGGAGGGGATGGACACCAAAAAGGGGATAGAGGTAAAGTCAAAGAGATGAAGTTGGCAATTCGATGTGGAAGATGTCAAAGAAAGTAGGTGGCTAAGGATGAGGTCAATTAGGGCAGGAAACTGGTCATGAAGAGATGAGAATTAGGGAGACAAGCATTTAAAAGAATAGCGACTATTTGTGTTGAGAGAGCTTTGGAATGAATCTCTGTAAATGGGCTAATTAAGGTAGGGAAACCAGAAAAGAGGTGACTCCCTCCCTAGATACTTTGGGAATAGAAGAGACCTCTAAGTTATTTGAGAGAGGCACAGCCTTGCCGACAGGCAGGAGAATGGATTAGAATCCTTGGGTAGAGCCAGTCTTTGCCTGTAGTGAAGCCTCCTTCATCTTTTCTGTTGCTTTGGCAAAATGGAAACTTTCAAAATAAAGATGACATTCAAGGGACTCAGCCAGCTGGCTCTGAGCTGGCACGAGAGAGCAAACCTACCAAGGGCTCAGGGCTTGGGGTGGGCAGGAAATCGGGCTTGAAGACCCTCCTGAACTTTGTGCTCCTTTTTCATCCTCACCACTTCTGCTTCCCTTCTGCAAAAAGCCCATCTCTGTGCCCATCCTGGGTCCTATGACTTTTCTCTCCCTCAACAGTCGGTTCCCGATTCTGGTCCCCGGCCCCCAGCAGCGCCTGCCCCCTTCCCACCGGGGCCCCCCATGATGCCACCACCCTTCGTAAGTTTTATGTCTTTCCCTGGGCTTGGCTTTTCCAGCCTGCACCCCCGGCTCCCCAGCCCCTAGCCACTGCTGCATCACCAGCACAGTTTTCCTGTAATGCCCCTTTTGCTGCCCTTGGAAGAGGGATGGTTTTACTTGGGCATTGGGGTGGGGAGAGCTGTTGTGAAGCTCTCAGTACATAACATTGACAATTCCCCCTTTGTCTTTTTGACTTAGGACACACTGGGGCTGGAGGTAGGAGAAGTGGAAGGGAAAAGACCCCATTAATGTGAGGGCAGGGTGGGACTATCTATCTCTTTCACTACTCCTTACCTGTGCTCTTTAAATATGCCACAGAATTCGGGCTGGAATGGCATTGGTGGTCATGAGTTGGAGAGAAAGGGATGGGAGGCAGGGGACTGGGGTACTTGGGTACCTGGATACCTGCCTTCTGCCCCTTCATCTGAGAGGCCTCTTTGGGGGAGAATTGCTGAAGAGGTGGAGCCTTCCAGTCTCAGTCTGGTGCTGTTAAACTTCCCTTATTATTCCTTTCCTTTCCCATTATAATTAAGAAGCTGTGCGCTTGCCTGTTAGACCCCAGTTATCAGTCTTTCTCAGTGGTGAGGAGGGAGGCAGTTTCATGCCTTGTGCTTCTCAAACTAAAGCCTTGGAATTGCCTCAGAGGAGGGTAGAGGGTCAGGGAGGGAGGCGGTGGATATTTCCTGACAGGTCCTCTCTTCCTCTGACAAGGCGATGTCTTCCCTGCTCAGTGTCTGTTCCTTTCCTCATTTCCAGATGCCCCCTCCAGGGATCCCCCCACCCTTTCCTCCGATGGGGCTACCCCCCATGAGTCAGAGACCACCAGCTATCCCCCCCATGCCACCTGGCATCCTGCCCCCAATGCTTCCACCAATGGGGGCGCCACCACCACTCACACAGGTAATTGTTTCTCCTCCCCTGGGGCCTCAGAAAACCCTGTCACTTTAGCTGGGGGTGGAGATAAGAGTGGGCATGTGGGCCTCAGAAACTGGGGAAGGAAGGGAGCTTTGGGGCAGATCCATGTGGACTTGTCTGCTGAATGACTGAGACAACTCTCAGGCAAGGTGAGAGGCCAGAAGCTGGGGATTGCCTGAGGAAGTGCCCAAGTGAGGGTCATGGCTCCAGTGAGATCTCTCAGGACCCTTTGAGGTACCCTGTCCCTCCTGTTCCAGCCCTTACCTTGGTGGTTGGTTTCTGTCTTCTTTGTATCCTTAGATACCAGGAATGGTACCTCCGATGATGCCAGGAATGCTGATGCCAGCGGTGCCTGTCACCGCAGCGGTAAGCGCTAGGGGCCAGCAGGTAGCAGGCTCTGCCCTGCAGTCCCGTGAGTCTGACTTGGAATACAGGGCTACAACCTCCATTCTTTCCCTCTTCTCATCGCATCCACCCAGGTCCCCAGCAGCACTCCCCACACTCAAATCCTCCTCGCCAGCCATGTATTCAGCTCTTCTAGTTTCCCACTCATCCCCAAAGGCATATACATTCTCTTGTTACTCCCATGCCTTGTCCAGCTCCCTTAAGGAGCACACTTATTTTCACAGAGCCACACACTGTGGACACATGAATACAGTTCTTCACATCCTCTTTGTCCCCAGAAGAGTCAGTAGCACCTGGGGATCTTGCTGTGCCTTCTTATGCTATTGCTCAGTGTAGCAGAGTCTGGGTAGGATATAGAATTTGGCATCCACTGTGAAGGAATGTGCCTTGGGAGTTGTCTCAACCAAATACTCTCACTTGAGGAGAACGAAGAATGGACCTGCTATGTGATTCTCCCCTGGGATCCCAGAGCCACGGCCCTAAAGGGTGGGGGAAGCCTGTTAGGGAGCAGACATCTCTAGGAGCAGGACACATGGATTCTGGCCTGGCCTGCTTCTCTATCCCCCATGGCCTGGGTCCTGGGGGCCACTGGGCTTGGCCCCAACCCTTCCCCCTCCTCTTTCTTCGGCAGACGGCTCCGGGTGCGGACACCGCCAGCTGTGAGTCTTCTGGGGGCCTGCTCCCCCCAGGCTCGGAGGTTGGGGGGCATAGGGGAGAGGGGACCGTGGACTGGAGCCCACCCTGGATCATGCCTGTTGGGATGCCAGGGAGCCTGGGATATTGATGGGACCAGGGGAATATTTACTGGGGATGGAATATGGGAGGCATAGGTGGGGATAAGATGGAGGTTGGAGCAAGGACTTAGTATGTATCCTGTGGCTTTTTTTTTTTCTAGCTGCTGTGGCTGGGACAGGCCCTCCGGTGAGTTCTTCCAGCTCAGGGGTCTCTGGGTAGAAAGCCTGAGAGTCGGGGACTGATGGTTACGTCTTTGGGGTGAGGAGAGGCTTTTGAAAAGGGGCCTTGACTACCATTCTGTGCCCCCCCCCCCACCCAGAGGGCCCTATGGAGTGAGCATGTGGCCCCAGATGGGCGCATCTACTACTACAATGCTGACGACAAGCAGTCCGTGTGGGAGAAGCCCAGCGTGCTCAAGTCCAAGGCAGAGGTCCTGAGCTGGGCTTTCTGGCCCTTCCTTTCAGCTGCCCTGACCCTTCCAAGTCTTTGGCCTTCCCTTAGTCTCTAACCATACTCATGATGGTTCCTCTGATCCCAAGGTCCAAGGTCCCTGACCACTCCCCACCCTCCCTGGAAATATCTCCATAGGATCTCAAGAAGTCCACCTTCCCCAGTTTGAGCCAGGCCAGGTGGTAGCTAAAGGTTCCTGTGTCCTCTACTCACTGGGTCTCCTTAGCTCCCCTGACTGGCTGGAGAGCATGCCCAGCCCACTGATGGCTCCTATCCCATCCTCTTGCAGCTGCTCCTGTCGCAATGTCCCTGGAAAGAGTACAAGTCAGACACAGGCAAACCTTACTACTATAACAACCAGAGTAAAGAGTCTCGCTGGACCCGGCCCAAGGATCTGGATGACCTAGAGGGTGAGACGTCCTACGAGTGGGCCGGGTCAGGAGTTCTGGAGGTTCTCTGTTGCCCCTGTGACTGACTGTGTTATCTTTTCCCATCGCAGTTCTAGTCAAACAAGAAGCTGCAGGGTGAGTGACTTGCCCAACTATCCATTTATAGTTGGGGCACCTGGAGTGTGGGAATAGACTCTCTTGCTATGATTTCTACACTGTGGGAGGAAGAGCCAGTTTTGTCCCCTTGTGGAGTCATCCCCTCTGGCCCCAGTCTTTCCCAGGATAGAGAGACCAGCCAGCCCCTGAACTCCTCCATTCCTGCTCTCCTCCTGGACACTGCCCTTCTGGCTCATCTGCAGGAAACAGCAGCAGCAGCTGCCACAGACACTTCAGCCACAGCCGCCTCAGCCACAGCCTGACCCCCCACCTGCACCTCCTGGCCCCACCCCAGTGCCCACAGGCCTCCTGGAACCTGAGCCAGGTGGGAGTGAAGATTGTGATGTGTCGGAGGCCACCCAGCCCCTGGAACAGGGGTTCCTGCAGCAGCTGGAGGAGGGCCCCAGCAGGTGAGGGCTGCCCCCCATGGCATTCCCGATGTTGGCCTCAGACTCCCAGCCTGGTTCAACCCTTGTCCTCTGCTGGGCCTCTCTCTCAGGAGGGGTTTGAAGATCTGGGTGTCACCTCTGAAGGGCAGAAAAAGGCTGCCCTGAGGAACAAGGAGGAGATGATAGGTTGCCAAGAGTTCAGGGCACTGAAAGCTGTGAGGGCTGGGGGACCCTGTGGCTGAGTCCCCTGTGCCCTCCAGTTCTGGACAGCATCAGCCACAGCAGGAGGAGGAAGAATCAAAGCCAGAACCAGAGAGGTCTGGCCTCAGTTGGAGCAACCGGGAGAAGGCAAAGCAGGCATTCAAGGAACTGCTGAGGGACAAGGTGCTGGAGTGGGGCTCCCAGGGAAGGTTTGGAGGGGGCTGGAGCAGGGCAGGCCCCATGACTCCCACCTGCTTCATTCCAGGCTGTCCCCTCCAACGCCTCATGGGAACAGGCCATGAAGATGGTGGTCACCGACCCCCGTTACAGGTAGGCCTGGGCAGAGGGAGCCAGGCCCTGTTCATGAGAGCTGCTATGCTAGGGACTTCCTAAGAAACCCCAGCTCAACACTCAGCCCTAAGGGAACCAGAGTCAGGACAATGATAGATTGGGCTGGGGAGCAAGGGGAAGAAAAGCTGGAGGGCCTCCAGGAGAAGGAAAGGAAAGGTATCTGACACAACACATTCAATAAATGCTTATTGGATTGAATCAAACTGAATTGAATTAATTGGGGAATGAGGGTGCTGGATAGGGTGACTTGAGAATCCCAAAGCAAAAGGGCCCAATATTTGCAGTGTCTTGGAGCTGCATCTCTTCCCCTCACTTCCTGTCACCCCTGCTTCTCCATGAATGGTGTTCAGATCCCAGACATCTGTGCCCTTGAAGCCGCTGCAGCCTGTAGTGTCTCATGACCCTCCAGTGTGGGCTGTGCAGGGTGGTTCAGGGTGACTTCTCTATCCCCATCCTACTCCTACCCTTTATCCCAGTGCCTTGCCCAAACTGAGTGAGAAAAAGCAGGCATTCAATGCCTACAAGGCGCAGCGGGAGAAGGAGGAGAAGGAGGAGGCCCGTCTAAGGGCCAAGGAGGCCAAGCAGACCCTGCAGCATTTCCTGGAGCAGCATGAACGCATGACCTCCACCACCCGCTACCGGTCAGGGGGCCAGGCTGGACTGGGGGCTTGGGAACCCTGAGAACACAGAGGTCCAGGGTCTCTGTTCTCTGTCTACCTACTCACAGCTCATATGCTCTACAGGCGGGCAGAACAGACCTTTGGAGACCTGGAGGTCTGGGCTGTGGTCCCTGAGAGGGATCGAAAAGAGGTTTATGATGATGTCCTCTTCTTCCTGGCCAAGAAGGAGAAGGTAATGGTCGCTGGGCAGGATCCATCAGCCCATCTTATCCTGGACTTTCCTTGTCTTTGCTTTGTTATGGACCCTAGCCATTTACTTCTCCACTTCCCCAGTGTCCCAGCTTCTGACTTGGAAGCTGGCATGGGACTTGCACATCCCATTTCTGCTCTGGGCCTATAGTCCTGGGTGTAGTGAGGAGAAGTCTCTGAGAGATGGGTCTGTAACCTGTACTCCCTCCCCTTCCCTGAGACATGAAAGTCTTGAGTATGGCCTTCTTCCTAGGGTTCCCTAGCTACCTTTCCCCAGGTCCTCCTCTGCCCAGGCCTACTTGGGTAGCTCTGGCCTGCCCTGCCTCACCCTGATCCTGTGGCTCCCCAGGAACAGGCCAAGCAACTCCGGCGCCGCAATATCCAGGCCCTAAAGAGCATTCTGGATGGGATGAGTAGTGTCAACTTCCAAACCACGTGGTCCCAGGCCCAGCAGTACCTCATGGATAACCCCAGCTTTGCTCAGGACCATCAGCTGCAGAGTAAGCCTGGGCCTCCAATCCCAGCTATCCCTTTCCCTTACTGGACCTGGGACCCCAGAGTCTCCCTCACCCCACTCACCTGTACCTCCTGCCCTCCCGGACACCCTAGGAGTACTCAACACTCACCCAGTCCTTGTACTTCTCTGGACTCTGGGGATACCAGAAGGTTTCAGGACACCCCTGCCTCTGGGGTCCACTGTTGGGCTAGACATTGTGTGTCCTTGGAGGAGGAGCTCTAGGATAGGAATCTTAAGTCCTAGAGATGTCATTGATGATGGTTTTAGCGCATGTGAATATGGTCTTAAAGCATCATAGCACTACACGCCTCAAGTGGTCACATGTTACAATAGACTGTTGTTGGCCTGTAGTCACTGATGATACTGAAATTCACTTTCTAAAATTGCATCAAAGCCTGATTGATTCCCAGTTCCCTAAGATGTGAAACGTCAGATCCCAAGACAACTGGTTTCATGTTATGGCTTCTAATAACTGAATTCACAAGAGCTGAATACTTGCTCATTTATTCTTATACAATTAATGATTCCCTCTCAAGAACCACCATTCCAGTGGCTGCTCCCACAGAGCCCTCTCCAGGCCCTTCCCCCACCACCCTGGGTATCCCTAGCACCTGTAGGACAGCATCGTTGAAACATTAGGGGTGCTGGGGTCTGAGAGGGTGTCCTCCTGGTACAGTGCCCACTGAACCTCCTGCCTGTCTTTAGACATGGACAAGGAAGATGCACTGATCTGTTTTGAGGAGCACATTCGAGCTTTGGAGAGGGAAGAGGAGGAGGAACGGGAGCGGGCCCGGCTTCGGGAGCGACGCCAACAACGCAAGAATCGGGAGGCCTTCCAGGTATCTTTGCCATCCTTTCTAGATCAGAGCTCGGCTGTGCCCTAGAGCACCTCTTCACCCATTCCCTGTTCCTTTCTGGATAGGCTGCCTGTTCTTTATGTGCCTAGCCTGTCCAAGCTCCATGAGACCTCTCTCTGCCTGCAGTCTGTTTCTGCTGTACCCCCTCAATTCTGGACTGTGCTCTTCTAGGGAGACTAGATGTATGCACCACCCAGAAACTGCCAGCAGAGAGCACCCTACAGGCACAACTTGGCAGCTAGGCCATGTTTATTTCCCTTGGTGGGGCGCCAGACAGGCAGAGTTTATTCCCCCACCTTGCGGGTGGTAGTGGGGGTGGTAGTGCTACGGGTTACTGCAGGCAGGTTTCTGTTTCTTTGCCTCCCGGGAATGGCTTGTTCTCACTTTTTTGTTCTGTCCCTCTCTGTGTATTTACATTCTCTCCTTTTGCATTGTTCTCAGCCTTCCATCTGCATCTCTTCATCTCTGCCTCTTTCCTGCATCTCCTCAATCTTGATTGTCCCTGCCTCTTCCTCTGCCATTCCCTCTCTTCCCCCTCATTCTGTGGCTCTGCCTCCCTCCTTGTCTCACTCTCCCTATAACTGGCCTCTCCCTGCTCAGACCTTCCTGGATGAGCTGCATGAGACAGGGCAGCTGCACTCTATGTCCACCTGGATGGAGCTATATCCAGCAGTCAGCACTGATGTCCGTTTTGCCAACATGCTGGGCCAGCCGGGTAAGGCAGCCAGGCTAGGCAGCCAGGCTCCCCCTTCTCTGGCCTGGCTTCCTGCCCTGCCAGCCTCTCTGTACCCCCTACTCCCTGGTCCTGTCCTCGGCGCAGCCCCCAGGCCTTGGGAAGCTGCCGCCCGCCAGGCCCCCCTCCCTCCCTCCTTGCAGGCTCCACGCCTCTGGACTTGTTCAAGTTCTATGTGGAGGAGTTAAAGGCACGATTCCATGATGAAAAGAAGATCATTAAGGACATCCTTAAGGTGAGGGAGGCTGAGGTTATGGATGGATACAGGATGGACGCAGGGCACACTCCCTGCAGAGGACTCCCTGATAAGTCCTGTTTTGCAGGAGCATTACAGCTTGGTTCAGCAGATACCTACTGTGATCCTTTACTGTGCACTAGGGATACAGTAATGAATACACAATTTCTACCCACAGGAGTTCATGGTCTAATAGGAAGATATACATGAGAAGTGTTATACAAAGGGGCAAGTGTTACTACAGAGACAGGAATCTGAAGAACTAACATTTGAACTGCACATTTAGAAATCAGTAGGTGGAAGAGGTTGGAGTGTACCCAGGGTCCTAAGAGCAAAGGCAAGGGGGTGGAAAGGGCATGCCAGGTCTGAGGAGGAAGAAGCATAGCTAATTGTAAACTGGTAGCACACAGATTGTTCTGGCCTGTACAGTGTTTTTTAAAAAATTTGGAATTTGTTGCTAACATTTTAAAACCAGGAAACGTCACATAAAAAATCTGAATCTTTAGCTTCTCTTGTCAATATGGATTATCTAGCAGCATTGAGCTGGATTTGCAAGGCATTCTGCAGACTCAAGTTGAGATGCCACTTTAGAAAGGGCAAGTCATCCTTCTCACCGTTCCTTAGTGCCTTCTTGATACTGTCATAAGTGTCAGCTGCCATTCACCATCATTCATGGCCTGTTGCTTTTCTTCTACTGGAGAAGAGAAATAGTTCTCAATATTTACATCTTATCAAAAGTGGAAAAGTGAGTGAGTGATGGACTAAACTTGTGTTCCAAAAGAAAAAACAAAGAGAAAGCATATTTCTTTATGGAAGTGAAGATTCTAATGCATTTGAGGAGATAATACAGTACAGTGGTTAGGAGCAGGACTGGAGGCAGACTGTCTACAGTAAAAGTCTAGCTTAACTGCTTGCTAGTTGTGTGACCTTGCACAGGTCACTTGACCTTTCTGACCCTGTTTCCTCATCTAAAAAATGGTGAGTGTTCTACCAGAGTACACCTAATTACAGAGATTAAATGGTACCTGGGTTGAAAGGGATCTGGAAATAAAGCTAGAAATGTCTCACTGCACATCTATTTCTTTGAAGTATTGTTTTGCCTTACAAATTCACGTAGGTGTTGCATTTTGACACCATATTACCTCTCTATTTAATATAGATTTAATATTTTAAATTACTTACCATTAGGTAAGATATATCATACTGTCCTGAGGTATCCTCTTTCTCTGGAACCATATGCCCCAGTTTGGAAGTAGAGCCCTGCATGTAAAGTGCCTTGAATGCCAAAATAAGAAATTTGGATTTTTCTCTCGTAAGTAATAAGGAACCAGGGAATGATCAGATTAGATGGTGTATAGTAGAACCTTTCAGTCTAGAGTATGTCCTTATGTCCTTAGGGAAGGTTGTGGTGGTAGGTAGAGCAGTTCTTGAAGCCTCAGAATACTAAAACTGATAGTGGTAATTCAAATAGTCATATTCTTCTCACTTATCCCCAGACCTCTCTCCTACTGTTGGGGCTACTTAGTACAAAAGTCCAAGAAGCACTAGCTGCTAGGAGCTGGGTTAGAGGGATGGAAGAGGGTCAGTAAGGAGAAAAGTCAGTAGGCTGTGCAGGACTCCCGGTAGGAGGTGATCCTAGCCAGGGCAGTGGGGACAGCAGAAGAAAAGAGCAGGCTATAGCCCTCCAGCTGTGCTTCTGAGACACTCTGGGTTTCTGTATAGGTGCCTTGAGACAAGCAAGGGTTGGGGTTGAGTATGGGGGGATTTTGTGCTGCTTCCTGTTTTCAAGTGAAGCAGCTTGAATCTTTTTTATGCATAGAGGTTCTACATAAGATTTCTATGTTAATAAACTGTTTCTGCTGTTTAAAAAAAAAAGGGGGGGGGGAGAATTTAAAACCAGTGGGATAGAGTCACTAAGTAGAACTGACAGATTTTGTGAAATGGAGGGAAAAGAAGGAATCAGAGGTGTCAGGGAAGTGGATGATGGCACCACTGATAAGGATAAAACAAGAAGAGCAAGGCTGTAGAAAATAGGAATTCTATTTGGGGAATTACTCTCAAAGCAAATATCATATTTTAAAACAAAATAATCATATAAAGTAGAAATGCCTTATCCTGGGATAGCTAAATTTTATTGGACAATTAACTTTTAGCCAGAGTGGCTGATTGATACGCCTGTAGGGGCCTATCCTGAGTCCTGTCTCTCCACACCACCTGAGAAAGCAGCTTTTTTAGACAGTTCCCTTCCTCTTTCCCCATTTGGGTTCCTGCCTATGGAGGGCAGATGAGCCGAGTCCCTCTTGCTTTCCGCAGCCAGGCAGACCACAATGGTGCGTCTCATCCCATAGGATAATGCAAAGAGCCCTGGACTTAGAACACGCAGACAGATATGGGTCAGGGAGATCCATGGAGGGTGCTCATGAGAAATATATTCTCTTGAGATCTGTTGAATTTGAAGTGTCTGAAATATCCAGTCCAGGATGAGTTTGAAAATCAGGAGAGATGAAGGATGAGATTGCTAGGGAGTACAAATTGAGTAGTAAAAGAGGACTAAGTGCTATTCTCAGGAACATGCATATGCAAGAGAAGTAATAAGAGGTGAGAGAGGAGTCGACCTGGAGAGGGGAGTGTTGAAGAAGTAATTGGTAGAGGCACTGAGGACCAGATGAGTGAGGAGCAAGAAGGAGGCCTTGGATTTGGCTAGCAGACACAAGCAACCTTTGGGAGAGTAGTGTCATGGAGGCGGCATAGGGACCACACATGTTTTAGAGTCAGATAACTCCTGGTTGCTTATTGGCTCTGAGATCTCCGTAAGTTCCATGTCTCTGAGCCTGTTTGCTCACCTGTAAATCGGATAATTCATAGGTAAGGTTGTGAGAATTAAATAACATTTGTAAAGTATCTAATAGGTTCTCAATAAATGTTTATTCCTTTTCCTTTCTGCTGCATTTCAAGAGGTTTTGAAACAAAGGAAAACAGCAGAGGTAGTTAGTTTGATGAAGGGGACAGCATGGTGGAAAGGATGTTCCAGGTTAGGTGAGGTGTCTCCTTGATGGAAGGAGCCAGTGACGAGGGTGACTTGGAGCTTTCAATTCCCTGAGAATGAATGCTGTGTTGATAAGAACTGGGGCAGGGTTGAGGAAGTACCCTTGGAAAGAAGCAATGCGAGGAACACACCTCTGCCATCAGCAGAAAGTCCAGGGGAGGTGAGAGCTATGTGGAGGGAGAGGAAGGGAATCTGGCCTGTGCTTAACTGACCTGAGAGCCAGACTTTGAACTTTAGTGGCTTCCTTTACCACTCATGTCATCTTGGGCCAACTGAGATCACTTTTCTAAGCCTCTGCTTCACTGGAATGTTGTGAGGCCTAAATGAGAAGCACAGAGCCTGGTCCGTGGAGATATTTTTAGTATTGGTGGGGAGCTGCACACCTGGTGGCCTCCATTTCTCCCATGGACTAAGTTACCTGGGTTGGTGTGGTGCTTGAAAGCACAGACTTTGGGGAGAGAGACCCAAGGTAGGGTTCTTGCCTAGCCATACATCAGCTGTGAGACCTTGGGCAAGTGCTTGGTTTCTCCTTCTGTGTAAAATTAGGATACTAGGACCTATTCTTAAATGTAGAACCAAGAGGATTAAATGAGATAATGTGTGAAACACTCATCGTGGTAACTGGTACATAGTAAGCACTCAATAAGTAGAGCCAAAGGGTAGGGGTCAGCAAATGTTGATTGAGAATGCATGGAAGCTCTACTGAGCAGCAGGAGGGCCCAGCTGGGGCCAGAGCTTTAAGCCAAAGGAACAAAAGTTAATTTTGAGAAACTCATGCATTAATCAGCAGTTGGGAGACATCTCCCAACCCCTTCAGCTCCATGTGACATCCAAACCAAGGCTAGGCATGGGGGCTTAATTGTTAAGTGATGAGGACTTGGATAACTTGGTTTCTAATGCATATCACAGTCCTGTGGATCTCTTCTGGAGGCAAGGGCCTTCTTGACCATCTGTAGTGTGACCACTCTGCCTGCCAGCTTTGGCCTCAAGGCATGTGGTACCCCTGCTTCATGTACTGCTGTGCCCACAGGACCGGGGCTTCTGTGTGGAGGTGAACACGGCCTTTGAGGACTTCGCCCACGTCATAAGCTTTGACAAGAGGGCTGCCGCACTGGACGCAGGCAACATCAAGCTGACCTTCAATAGTGTGAGGGGCTGGGCAGGGCATGGGGCTCAGTTCTGTAATTCATCCCAGTGCCTTGTTCCATTTCTTCTCACTCACTGTCTGACTATATTCCCAATTCAGGGGATGGTGGTAGAAGCCCAGACCCTAACTTTCCACCTCCTAAGGTATGCCTGAGTGGGACCCGGCATCCACCCTCCTGGGTGACCCTGTTCCATGTCCCTTCTTTTCTCAGCTGCTGGAGAAAGCAGAGGCACGGGAGAGGGAGCGGGAGAAGGAGGAGGCACGCAGGATGCGGCGCAGGGAAGCTGCCTTTCGAAGCATGCTGAGGCAGGCTGTGCCTGCTCTGGAGCTAGGCACTGCCTGGGAAGAGGTCAGGAGCGTAGCCTGGCCCCAAACACCCCTCAAGCCTGAGGGCAGCGGTGCTTCACCACTGAGGGCCCACCCCAGTCACGTCACAGCCCTGGGCCAGCTCCAGTTCCCTTCCTTTCTCTGCCCCAGCCCTGCCCTGTGCTCATGGCGGTGTCCAGGCCAGGCTGAGTGGGGCCTAGTCTGATCAGCAGTGCTCTCCTCGTTCAAGGTCCGTGAGCGTTTTGTGTGTGACTCAGCCTTTGAGCAGATTACCCTGGAGTCGGAGCGGATCCGGCTCTTCCGGGAGTTCCTACAGGTGCTGGAGGTGAGGCAGGCTTGTCCTCTGGATCTGCCCCAGGCCCTTGAACTCCTTAGACCAGTTCAACAGAGACCTCAGTGGCCTCCCTCTTACCCTTAGGGTACTCCTGGCCAGCTAAGGAAGGGGAGGCCTGAAGGATCCCTGGGATAAGCAGAAGGCTCTAGCCTGAGAAAGGGAGGCAAAGCCAGATTTTAGGAGGTAGAGTCCTTCCTGGGACTGAGTCTGGTGCCGTCCTCACCCTTCTTCCTCTGCCTCTAGCAGACTGAATGCCAGCACCTCCACACCAAAGGCCGAAAGCATGGCAGGAAAGGCAAGAAGCACCATCGCAAGCGTTCCCACTCACCCTCAGTGAGTAAGCGGGTAGAAGGGACGTGGGGGAAGCTGGGTTGTTTTGGGGAAATAAACACTTTTGGTTTCCCCTTACATTATCTCCATTGGAGGGAAATTTGAGGATTCCTTTGGCCCTGGATCCTCCTCCTCTCTCGAATTCCCAGATGAGGGCTTCTGGAGGGCAGATAACCTCTGTACTGATACGTATCTGCTGATCTGCCCAGGGCTCTGAGTCAGAAGAAGAAGAGCTGCCCCCACCATCTCTCCGGCCCCCCAAGCGGAGGCGGCGGAACCCCTCAGAGTCAGGCTCTGAGCCCTCTTCCTCACTTGATTCAGTTGAAAGTGGGGGTGCTGCCCTTGGAGGACGGGGCTCCCCTTCCTCCCATCTTCTTGGAGCAGGTAAGCAGTTGCTATGAGTCTAGAAGCTGGAGAACTGTTGTCCCAGACTGAGAGGATGCCCTCCGCAAGCCCCAGCTCCTTTGAGGGTAGACTGGATTGGGAGGGCTGCACCTGTGGGAGTAGAAAGAACTTCCTCTACCTGTCCAGGCAAGAAGCTGGAGAAGGAAAACCGGACTTGGAATTCCTCAGAACATGAGGTTCCTGCCTGTGAAGAATGAACACGGGCTAGAACAAAGAAAAAGAAGAGCCTTCCTTTCTCCTGTTGGGACTCAGTAGGGATTTTTCTATCTCCAGATCATGGCCTTCGGAAAGCCAAGAAACCAAAAAAGAAAACTAAGAAGAGAAGACACAAGTCGGTGAGTGAAGGAACTTCTACCTAAGCCCCTGCTATTTTGTGAGCTCTGTTCTACCTGACTCCCAGACTATCCACAGGTACTGAGGAGGTGGGCTCTGGACTCTTACAGAACAGTCCTGAGAGTGAGACAGACCCTGAGGAGAAAGCTGGCAAGGAGAGCGATGAGAAAGAACAAGAACAGGACAAGGACAGGGAGCTCCGGCAGGCAGAGCTCCCTAACCGTTCCCCAGGCTTTGGAATCAAGAAGGAGAAGGTGAGGGGCAGGGGCCCTAGGCCAGTCAGCACGCTGGTCAAGCCTCCACGGCCCTCAGTGCCGGCTAAGGGTGAGCTGTGCCTTTGCTCCAACAGACAGGCTGGGACACGTCAGAAAGTGAGCTGAGTGAGGGTGAGCTGGAGAGGCGGCGGCGGACACTCCTACAGCAGCTGGACGATCACCAGTGACCCGATGAGCTGTTCTCTGCCTCGGGTCTGTGTGAGGCCGTGGCTCCTGGGCCACCCTCACCATCTGCCTCAGACTTCTTCCTTAGTCTGGTCTGTGTCCACTTTTTCTAAAGTAACCCCACCCCCAGCACACCATTGTTGGCACCTCTCAAGGTTGCTGTTGGTGTTCAAGGTTCCCCTACTCCCTGGACTAGTGCAGTCCTTGCCCTCAGCCCCAGACCAGAGATGGGTGGTATGTGCCATGTGGGGTGGGTGATGCCAATAGATAAAAGTGTGAGAGAAGGGGTCTCCAGGGAAGAGTGACAGGCTGATGGACACAGCCTGGGTGGCAGAGGGCAGGGTCGTCACCCTCTAGCATGAGTGCCTGCTCCTGCCTGCCCTGGTCCTGAGGCTCCACCACTTCTTCCTCCACCCAGGACCTAATGTACGTGTGTTTTGTTTTTGTTTTTTAAATAACAATATTTATAACATGGCCAGTGACTCTTTTCCATGTGCTACTGGGGCAGGCTGGGGACTGGACACATGCCCAGCAGAGGGCACTAGTGTCTCACGGCAGGCCTGCTTCCCTTTGTGTGGCTAGAGCCCACCCAGCCAGTTCTCCTTTCCCCAGAGTTCTGATCTCATCTCCGAAAAAGATGCAGTGCCCCAAAGATTTCTTTTCTGTCCCCATGGCCCAGGTCGGGCTAAGTGGACACCCTAAACCCCTAAGCTCAGAAACAGGAGACAAAGTCAGGCCTGGTGCATCAAGCCTTTGTTGAGAGAGGGAGAGTCTGAGGTTTATGTACAAGAGGAAAAGGAGGTGGTACATGTACAAAAAAGTGGGCCCCCACATTCCCTTCCAGGGGCAGAGGAGAAACAGGAAGGTGAGCAAATAGTCAGCCAAGACCACCATGCTCCTTGTCCCCTGCCAAAAAACAAACAAACAAAAAAACGTAGCTGAGGAAAGAAGGTGAAGAGTTGGCCCACCCTTTCTCCAGCCATCTGCAGAGAGGGGTTGGTGCAGAGAAAACCTCTGCTTTTCTGCCCACCTTGACAAGGACAGTGTGAGCCTAGAATGAAATGGGCAGAGAAATAAGGGCAGTGAGTCTGACATCTTTCCTCTTACCCTTATCACTAGGGCACAGCTGGCACGGCCCATGCTTCAGAGGGCCTTGCTCCTGGTAAGAGATGAACTGAGACTGGCAGGGTCCCAGGGCTCCCTAAGCCTAGATACATCTAGACCAGAGCTGACCATGGGCCTGCAAAAAGGAAGGGAAAAAAAAAGAAAGGACAGTTGCTCTCTCCTCTCATCCCTCTGGGCTCTAGTGGGAGAGAGATCTACATGCCCTGTTTAGGCTAAAGCTGGAAATGGTTTTTCCCAGCCTTGAGCTGACCCTTGGTGACCCTTCAGGAAACAAAGTCAAAGACCTTGGGGGCAAAGTGCAGTACTGGAGGCACCAGGGACCTACAGACCTAGTGCCCATAGTGGCACAAGTAGAAAGATCCAGCCTTAAGAGCTGGGGTGGATATAGTTGAGAGCAACACAGCCCTCTCCTGGGCCCTTGGCCAATTCCAGGTCCACTGGTTGGACTTGTAGGACTCTGAGGGCTGAAGTGCTTCTGCCTCCAAGAGGGTCTCAGTGGGGGCCTGGAGCCCGAGGGGGACCACTGGGTGGCGCAGCACTCCTGGCTTGGTGGCGAACAACCATAGGCTGGCAGTGGAGGCCTGTAGGGGAAGACAGAGACCTGTGAACAGGATGGTAGGCTGAGCCAGGACAGTGCCCTCAAGAGCAGCCCCACAGGTAGGGCCAGGGAGGAGCCAGCGGTGAGGCAGATAAACAGGAGGCTTAGAGGCTTGAGGGGTACCCAGCTGGGGAGATTGCTGGGCTTTGCATTTCAGTGGATCAGGTTGGGGGTGACTAGAGGCCACTGGGCAGTGGACAGAGACAAGGTAGATGCATTCAGAAAGAGCCAGAAGGAAAAGACCCCAGGCTGACTGGACATCAGGAAACAGATCAAGGGACATCTGATACCTCCTGGTCAGAAGCTACTACCAGAGCTCTTATAAGAGAACCGAACCCTAGGGAAAGGTTCCTTAGGCCTGGGAATGGACCCTCAACCTCAGCCTCAAAGATCAGAAGTGTAGGCCTGGTCCTGCCTGCTCTGGCCTGTCCTCAACACTGGCCTGGCGACTCCCTACCCACTGGGTCTTAGTAGAAGCCAGGACAGCATTAGTGGGAGAGACCACTTCCCTAAGGACACATGCAGGGGATATGCCACACTTCTCAGAGCATGGGGCATGCAAGAAGTATGTGTCCGCATCGCTGGGAGGCTGCCAGAGGGTGATTGCAAATCATGCAGGAAAGGAGGTGCCTGTGGTCTCCAGCAGGAATCCTGGGAGATGGGCATGCAGAGGGGGCAGCTGCGGTGCCCAGTACCTGTCGGGCCCCAGCCTTGGGGGCTAACAGTTTGACTCATCATGGTGGGCTGCATCACAGAAGAAGCGTGAGCCCCGCTTGGCAGTACGGGCCGTGAAAGGGACACTCTTCAGCACTGTGGCCCAGGAGAGAGACACAGTGGTCAGGCCTCATGGGGGGTGGGATGGGAGGAGAGCCCAAAGGAGTTAGGTTGAGCTTTGGGATCTGGGTGCAATGGCCAGGCCCCAGGGAGTGAAAAAGGGCCCCACCTGTGATGATGTCCTCGATGGTACCATCCTTCCCCTCATAAACAGGCCGGTGTTCCTTGGCCTGGCGCCGCCTCAACTCTGCTATTAACTCCTGCTGTTGCCACTTGTTCCGCTGGGATGGGGTCTAGGGCCAAGAATGTGGAGGGGGAAGGAAGTCATCACTGACCTAATGTGGGACTGGTTCCTGCCGCAAGGTGCAGTCTGAGGATGCCACTGCTTGTGCACTGCTAGGAATCCCCAAAGGCCCTCCCTCCATCCCTCTGGATGCCAGCCCACTGGCCCTCTGGGTGGTCTGTCCACTCCAAGTTTTCATCTCCCCTAGCCTTCTGACCCCCAGCCCCCACTCTTTTGCCTTGTCGTCTTCCAGGCCCCAGCTCTTGGTCCCACCCACCTTGGCATCCAGTTTCTTGGCTTCCTGAGCCAGCTGCTTCTCCCGCATTACCTCCTCCTGCTTCTTGCGGGCTTCATTCTCTTGTTCTGCTTCCTAAGAGCCATGGAAGATGGGTGGGGGCTGGGGGTGAGGCTCACAGGCTGTGAGGGGAGGGGCTCACACTGAGGTGGAGAGTGGGTGGCAGTGAGACCCGCTAACTCCAGGTGGCCACCCTCTGGAGGGGCACTTCCTGCCCCAAACAATGACAGGAAGGTCCTGGGCCCCACCCTGCCCACCAGTTCACAGCTAAGAGGCCTGTCGCCAGCTTGCATCGCTCCCTTCCCAGGACTCAAAGGAGGAGTCGGAAAAGGCCCATACTTTAAACCCAGGCTTCTCTCCCTCACCCAGTTTTCTCTCAACCAAACTTCTTAAAAAGCTATCTGCAGCTTACCTTGTAAGAACGAATGAATCGGACAAATACTGGGAAGAATACAGAAGGAGGTGTAGTCTTGGGACTCTCACCAAAGTAGCGCACAACTGCATTATAGGCCTCCTGGGGAAGGGGTGGGCAGAACGGGTCACTGGCGGGAAGGGGCAGCCCAGCTCCCACACCGTGGATGAGTGGCCTGCGGAAAGCAGAGCCCAGGGCCAAAGGGAGGAAAACCAACCACCCAGGCCCCTGTGAGCTGGAGAGAACCTGGGGCTCCCAAAGCTCCCAATAACCAGTCTCCAGAGGCAGCTGCCTGCCACTCCCAAAGCGCGCTCTCCCCCCTACATACAGACAGCCAGCTGCTTGATTTAAAAGAAAAAATAGAACTGGGGCCACCTAGAGGGGCCTGGAGCCTTGGCCCTGGTTGCTCCCACCCGCCTGCACCCTGTGCTTGCCTCAGCCGTCTTGGCGTCCCGCTGGAGCTTGTCTAGTTTGCCTTCATTGGTACTGAGGAAGTTCCGGAGGACACTGTTGTCATGGATGCTGCACTCACGCCGAATCAGCTCCATGCCCCGGCCCAGCTCCTTCACGTCCAGCAGCACGTTCTCCAGGGACACTGGTCACCAAAAGCCTGGCTGAGGATGCCTAGGGCCTGGCATGCCCACCTCCCAGCCTAGAGCTATATCAAACTCTGGCCCTCCCCCTCAGCATGGGCTCATTCAGGTTCACATATCTGTGTGGACATAAGGAAGTACACACCAAGCTAGCTGATCCCTCACAGGGGGAGGGAATGGAATGGAAACTGAGCTTGTGACCCCAAAGAACACAGTAGCAAACAAAAGCAGGCAAGCCACAGAGACTGCTGGTCTCCACAATGAAACTGCCTCAGGCCTGCCCTAGTGTTCATGGGTGGGGCAGAAATAACAGCTACCTCATGTCTATAGAGGGCTTTATGACTTTTTCTAAGCACTTCACATACATCATACACAAACGCAAGATCTCTGGGGCCAGCTTGAGGGAGTTGGGAGTAAAAAGTCACTGCTCCCCTTCCTGTTCCTGCTCCCACTGTACCTAGCTGGGAAGAGCTGGGACGGGCCAGGCCTGGCGCCTGGAGGAAGGCTCCCTCTGGAGTGGCCCCTGCTTAAGGCTCCAGCGGAAAGCTTTGAAGTGGTCAGAAAGAAGATAACAAAAGCCAGAAACAAATGGACCCAAGTGTTCCCTCTCCTCATAGCTTCCTGGGATTGTCCTGGGCTGGATGTGAGGGCAGGCCCACCCAGCCAGGCTCTCCTCACCTGCTGCAGCCTTCTCAACAAAGTGCAGCTCATGCCAGAAGTTAGCCAGGTCTGGGTATTTCTCCTTCACTGTCAAGGCGATGAAATGAAGCAGTGTCATCTTCCGGTCAGTGGACTTGGTATCCAACAGCTAGGAGAGGGGGTCAGGGCAGTGCATAAAAGCTAAGCACACTGGCTCCACAACTACTGCCCCCCAGGCTTCCTGGCCCTCACCATCTTACCAGATCCAGGCTCTGGAGCTTGAAGCCATACACAGCTCCCCGCTTGCTGCTGTTCATGTAGTTCCCCAGTGCAAGTATGATCTGTCCAAAGAATGCATGGGAGGCAGGTCAGGCTCAGGTCCTGAGGGCTCCTTCTTCCTCTCTGTATAGCCCCAGGCTCCCACCTAGGACCCGAGAACCCCAAGCACCCCTGTTCACAACCTCTTCCCACCTCCAACATCTGCTTCAGCTTCTGTGAAGACTTGACGGAAGCGGACGCCGCAATGATGGCATTGAGTTGCTGTAGGACAATATGAACACTGAAGTAACCCCAGGCTGAGATGCGGTAAAGACAGGGAGGGGTCAGAAGGACTGGAAGGGCAGGGGAGGTGACTAGCAGATGGAGGGTGGAGGGACAGCTGTCCAGGACCATGAGTTGGGTGGGGGCTGTACCGGTGTGAGCATCTGCAGGTTATCCTGGAAGTTCCCCAGGAAGGCCATGCCAGCCATTCGCTGGGTCAGCCGTTCCACCTTGCTGAAGAGCAGCATGAAGCGATCCTCAGCTGCCAACTCCTCCAGGGGCTGCCGCTCACGCTCATATTGCCGCAGCAGCTTTACCTCAGCCTCTGTGGGCAGGAAGCGCATCAGGCACTCCACGAAGTCCACAGGTAGTGTCTGCAAGTCAAACCTGTGGAGGAGGAAGGGACCACGTCAGTTCTCCCATCTCTCCACGTTTTCCCTCATCCCTTTTATTTTCCAAGCTCCTAGAAGGACTGGACAGGGGACTGTACACAGCACACAGCCAAAGGCAAAGGACCCATTGCCTCATCTGTCACAGCACCAGCAATGATCCTAGGGGAACATTCCATGCTCCTGTTTAATAAGCCCTTTAATGTACTCCCTCTGTACCTAGGGTGAAGTCCAAACACCTGAGCATGGCTTATGAGGCCCAGCCTGCAAGACTTCTGACTGACTCTCTACCTTCTCCTGCTCCTCTCCCTACACTAAAGCCAGATTCCATTTTTAGTACCCAAGGCACTATGCTTCTCCCTCCAGGCCCTGAACTGGACTAACTCCTATCTTTTCTTCAGGTCCCAGTTGAGACATTACCTCCTGTGGGAAGGCTTCCCTCATTCATCACCAAGCTCAGCTACATGAACCTCCATATTCTCCCAAAGCTGCCTGTATACTTCTACCATCTTAGTGTTACTGCACTCAGTGTTACTGCACTGTTCCCAATAGACTGAGAGCTCCTTGGGTGAAGGTCTGGGCTGAACTGCCAGCACAGATGCAGTAAATTCTGGCCAAGCCAAGCCAGTGGATGATTAGGGGGATAGGAGGGAGTTCTGTCAGATGACCTGGAATCTAGGGAAACCCAGGCTCCTGGGTGGAGAACCCCAGGTCAGTGGGAGCCTCACGTGTGAATGGCCCTGCAGATCTCCTCAGCCGAGCGGCCAGCCTTGCGTAGGGTGATGGCCAGGTTCTTGGCACGATTGGCTTCCAACAGAGTCACCTTGCTGGCAGCTTTTTGCGCTGTCTTGTTCTTGGAGCAGATGAGGTCAAGGGCAGGGCCCTGCGCTTTCGTCTTGAATAATTCTTCAAACTTATCCAGATCCAGGTCCTGGCAGGAATAGATGAGCAGGGAAAATGCTGTAGCCTCATACTAGTGGAGGACCTCCTGACAGCCCACCCAGCGTTGGCCCAGAGCTCTGTCACTCTGGAATATTTCCTGAATACAAACACAAATAAAGTGTTGACACAACTAGAAATATATATACACTCAAGAACGAAGGGTTCGTGGAGCTGAGCCTGGCCTCACCCTGTCTGATGGCTTTTCTAAGACCAGATCTCCTCAAAAGGCAACCAGGTCCCTAGCCCTCAACCTTACCCCTCTGGACCCCAGGTCCTGTTACCTCCAAGATCTTCTCATCATCAAGTTCGCTGAAGACAGTGCCACTGATCTGGTTGGGTTTCAGTGCTGTCCAGTTGAAGACAGGCAGCCGGAACTTGGTCTTGATAGGTTTCTTAATTCGAATGGCTAATTTGGAAGGAGGATCAGTGACACAGGGGCCAAGGACACACACCCCTGGTCCCACCAGCCCTGCCCAGAGCCTTGGGGACACTCACCTGACAGGCCCACTGTCAACACCACAGAAGGTGCAGCACCAGGGAGAGGTGGGGCTGGGGGACACTTGTCTGGGGAAAGAAGATACAGTGACCCAGGGGTCAAGAGACTCTTCATAGGCTTCCCTCCCCTCTGCCTGCCCCACCTTCTCTGAGAGTTTAAAAAAAAAACAACTCTCAGAGAAGGAGCCTACATGAACTCTGCTCAAGCTGCTCCCAGAAATTCTAACTCTGACAGGGCAATTGTTGCTGGTCTCTGACCCAGTTTCTACGGCTATAGTCTAAGCCTCTCCTTGGCTGTCTTCAAAGGAATTGGGAGCAACATCTTTATGACCCTTAAAACAGGTCCACATCTGCTTTTGGGCATCCCTGTGCTGATAACTTGAGCTCCTCTCAGATTCCAGCCCTCCCTCACCCGGATTTTATATCCCCCTAGTCCTCAGATGATGCCATTTTCCCAGTTTCTCCCTGAGGAAGACACTGCTGACTACAGTTTTGGTCCCCACAAAGAGGCTGCCCCTGCTGGTTCCCAGGGGTGGTGGTTACCTGGTAATGGGGGAGGTGGAGGGGGCAAGGGCGGAGCTGGTGGTGGAGGAAGAGGCAGGACCTCCTCAGGGGGTGTGGCTGGAGCCAGAAGATCCAGGTTGGAGGGTGGCATGCCCTCACTCAGCTCTGCAGGGCCTACTCTGGCCAGGGCCTCACTGCCCACAGACTCCAGGCCCCGGACACTTGGCTCCAAATGGCATCGACGCTGAAAGGCCTCCTCCTTCTCTTTAATGAGCCTTCGCAGGGTATGCACCTGGTGGCTTGTGTTCTCGTATGTCTCCTGACAGGCAGACAGCACCATTAAGGGAAAAGTGGGCTGAAGGAATAGTCATTGCCCCTAGAGTGAGAATTCCTACCCAGGGTTCTCTTAACTAGGGTCTCTGTGAGTGTACTCAGAGGCTCAGAGTGGCAGAAGCCCAGGTGGGGGAATGGGGAAGCTGGAAGGCAGCAAAACAAAAGAGGCAAGCAGAAGCTGCCTCCTCCCTCTGCTGGCACCCTCAAGTGTCCTCTCTGCTCCAGCCAATTCTCACTGCATGGCCTCTCAAAGCCCAGGGAAAAAGGTTGCCCCTGTGAAACTCTACTTAATCTACCACCGGTCTAAAATAGCTGCTCTCTCCATAGCCCTTTGGGCCTCATTTTGCTTTACTTTCACTTGACCTTGTATAATGGCTCAATTGGAAGCCCCCTATAAACAAGACCCTGTTTTAACCACCTCTGTATTCTCCATAGCTCCCAATACAATGCTTAGCAGAAGCTGGGCAGATACATATTGAGCTCAACACAGCCAGCATATATTCTTCTGGAAGAGAAGGTAGGATGGGGACATGACTATAATGAACAAAAAGTCAGGTGAGAATACAGGAGAGAATGAAATATGAAGAGCACCTGCCCTGCCAATTTAGGATACCTGGTGGACATCCTAATACACGGAGCACCTGGTCCCTCTGCCCCTGCTCATTAAGCATGGCTTGGGGAGGAACATGGGGGTAGACGGGAGAAAAATCAATGGGATAGGCTGGTAGAAGGAGGCTGGGTTGGAACTCCAGAATACTCTGTGGGTGCCCCAGCTGCTCCCACCCTCTTATGTGTGTGTCTGGCTCACACTGGCTTCAGCTTTCCTCTCCAACTAGAAACATGGGGTGAAATCATCAGCCCACCCAGACCTGAGTACCTCAAGGGTGAATCAAGATCTAAATCCTAAAGAACTTGATATGACTCAGGGAAAAAAAGCAAAACCCCAAGGTCCTGGAGCCCAGGATCAGTCAGGGACTGCCTTCCCAGAGTACTTGTACCTTGATGCTCTCTAGTTCCTTCTCCCGCTGCAGCAGCTGCTTCTCTAGCTCTGCCACCCGCATCATGTTTTCATTCTCTAGGTCCAGAAGCTTCTCTGTGAGCTGCACAACAGGAAGGGCAGGTTCTGTGCTAGCCCTAAAGCCTGGGCACTCAGCACAGCCTGAACCCTAGTCAAGACCTGAGTCCAACCCCTCAACACAAGGGATAACAGATACAAGACAAAGGCCACATTCTGACTGTCTCAAGACCAATGCCACCTCATGCCCAGCCCTGGAGGTCGGTGTGTGTTCCAATTGGTGGATGATCCAGTGGCTCAGACCTGAGTATGCTCTTGAGAGCCCTGGTGGGTTCTAAAGCCTCCCTGGGACTCAATCTGGAGGCAATGGGTCAGCTTAGGATTCCTGGTAACTTGAGCTTCCATCAACAGTGGCTCTGGCAGGCAAAGACAGACCACCTACATGGGACACATGCTCCTCCAACTCTTCCACCTTCTCCAGGGCTACATTCTTGGTCTCAGCATCCTCCAACAAACCCCCGACGTCAAACACGTTGTCTAGATATGCCTGAATCTGCACCTGTAGCTTCTCGCTCTCTGTGTGCCTTGACTTCTGGGGGAAGAGCAGAGAGTAGTAGTTGTTGTAGGAGCAGGCAGATCATCAGGGGAACTTTCTGAAAAAGACTTAGTCCTCGTCCCCCTTCGCCACCACTTCCCAAAGAGTTCCTGCTGCAGGCCATGTCAGATTCTCGCCCCATGGAGTGGCCTGACTGGGGAGTTATCTGCAGAGGTCCTGAGTCCCAGGCCACAGAAGACAGGCAGGGTCCCAAGAACATCAAGGACTAGGCACTTATAAAAGAAAAATCATTTGTGATATGGCTAAACGGATCCCAACGCACCTCACCTTACAAGGACCCCAACCAGCTCACCTGCAGGAACTCCTCTAGCCCCAGCTTGGTAAACTCATACTGCAGGTGGACCCGGAAGTTCATGTCCTCCACCGAGTGCACCACGATGTTGATGAACTGCATGCAGGCCACCTGAAGAAGAGGAGGCCCAGAGAAGCAGCAACAGGAAGGGCAGATGAGAGCCAAGAGACCAGGAGGATAGGTGGCTGTTAGAATATCATCATCATGTGGATAATTACAGGGAGTCAATTAAAGAGTTAAGCCTTTATGGGGGCAATAAGAGCATTTTAATTTTTAAAAAGTCATTTAATATTCAGTGTATAAAGACAAGTAAATTACATGAAAAACAGATGTAAGTGAAGATATAGCTCTCTGATTTCCTTTGTACATCAGCAGGTATTCCTCAAGGAAACCTTACCTAGCCGAAAACCCTGCATTGAGGGGAAGAGAAGCTAGAGGAAGAGCTTAGGAAAGGGAGGGCAGCTCAAAAAGGATCCAATTCAAGGACAGAAAGGCCACAGAAAAGAGGAAAAGGAGATAGATCCGATATAGACAAATGATGTCCTGAAGTTTCTAAGAGCTCTCTGGGGTGGGCAGGTGGACAAGAAGCATTTGCTGAATAGAATCATTCTGGGCTCTACATGGAATATCAAGATACGCTGTTGGCCTCACCCCTGTTGTCAAGGAACACACAGCCCTGGTGCTGGACCCAGGCCCAGTTCCTCACCATGAAGTCAATGTTGCTGTCCTCATTCCGGAAATATTCCATCAGCTTCTCAAAGCGGTGCAGCTCCTTGCATACCTGAATGAGCAAACTTTCTCAGTGAAAGGATCTGCTCTGTGCAGAACCCAAGCCCCTATGCTCTGGCTCCCAGGAACATCATGGCAAAGGACTGGTTCAGACCAAGCTTAACCACAACTCTATATATGAAATAGGGCATTCTGGACACTATAAAAGAAAACCTGGGGCCGGGCGCGGTCGCTCATGCCTATAACCCCAGCACTTTGCGAGGCCAAGATGGACAGATCACCTGAGGTGAGGAGTTCAAGAACAGCCTGGGCAACATGGTGAAACCCCATCTCTACTAAAAATACAAAAATTAGCCGGGCATGGTGGCATATGCCTGTAGTCCCAGCTACTTGGGAGGCAGAGGCAGGAGAATCGCTTGAACCCGGGAGGTGGAAGTTGTGGCGAGCTGAGATTGTGCCACTGAACTCCAGCCTGGCCACAGAGTGAGACTCCATCTCAAAAAAGAAAGAAAACTGGGACCTAAAATCTGGCTCTGGGTCTATGGTCCCCCACCAAATTGCTGAGGGAATTCAGTAAAGCCTGTGCCCTTAATCTGGGCTTTGAGTGCCTCTGGGGATAGGTCAAGAAGAAACACAGAGATGTGATGCTGCCAAGTTACTAAAAGGAGGAGGGAAAGAAGGAGGAAGGGAGGAAGGCCATGGCTAAGACAGGAGGCTGCAGTCCTAGTGGGGATGCAGAGGAAGGGCCAGTGTACAGGAAAGCCCTCTCTGAGAGGGGTCTAGAGGCTCCTCTGAGCCTCTGGGCTTCAAGGAGGAAGAGCCATTTCCTGGCTTGAACAATGGATGCTAGGGAAGAGGTCCAAAGAAGAGGAAGGGGTGGGACCACCAGCTGTGGCTGGATGTCGAAGAATCCTGTGCTCAAGTAGATAGGGGTTTCAGAGGCAGGCCCAGGAGCTGGGGCAAATGCCACAAAGGAGTTCCTTCTCTCCTCACCAGTAACAGCCAACAACCCAGGAGACATCCTTGCTTACCTTCTCCTCCCATTTCAAACATATGTGCTTTGGGTTCTACCAGTGGTTCACCGCATCATATTCCCATCTGGGGTGTCACTTAAGTACATATACTCAGGCCTCTAATGGGTCTGAACTAGAGCACAGGGATCTGTACTTTTAACAAGCTCCTTAGGTGATCTGGATGCAGGGCCCAAGTAGGACCATTAGACTATAGCCCTCAGCTAGCTGAGGGTATCTTTAGCTGGCCAATCAGGAGGTTTCTTGGCCCGAAGATCTAGTAAGACTAAAGTTCTGGTATTAAAAACAGTGGGAGTTCAGGAGAGAGGTTGCTTAGCCAAGCACTGGAATGTTAAAAAGCATTGCAGATCACAGGAAATGGTGCTTACCTACCTGGCTCCCTGCCTTCTCCCCTGCAAACACACACACACACGCAAAGCCAAAAGACTGACCTCTTTGAAATTGTCAAAGGCAGCAAGGATGATTTCGTGACCTCCTCGCACCAAACACACAGCTGCCAGAAGCTCTAAGACAAGGGCTTTGGTCCTAAGGGGTGAAGAAGGAAGATTAACACCCTAGCTCCCCATCCTGACAACTACACAGCTCACTTCCCTGGCTGGGTAAGTCCTTTTGGAGAGTGGAGAAAGCCTCAGTGGCAAGGAGAGAGGGTGGGAGAAAGCGGGTTTGCTCCTTTACTAAGCTGTATAGACTAGAGGAGAGCCAGGGATACTTCTCCTCCAGCAGAGGTGAGGGGGTCCAAACCAAGGCTCTGACAGGACTCCAAGGCTAGGCAGGACTTGTCAGGAATACATGGAATACAGATATCCAGAGCCCTGAACAGAGTGAGGAGGAAAGGGGAGGGAAGGAACTCACCTTGGATTCTTGTTATTGAGGCTAAGTGCAATCTCATTGACAGCATGGGGGTGGGACATGACCAGGTTGAATCCATACTACAAGAGAAAGGACAGAAGGAGGAGACCTTGATGGTGGGAAAGAGAGAGCCCAGCAGATCTCCTTGACCATAGGCCCACCAGCAAACCTGTCTTTTATAAGCTGGTGCCCTCCTAGCTCTCCTGGTTTTGCAGATGAGGCAGAAGAGGTAGAGCACCCACGACTAGTGCTTCCCCCTTACCTGATAATTCATGATGGCTCTGAGACAAAGGATACAGACGTGGACGTCATCCTTCTGGCTCACTAGGCGGGAGTTCTTCAGGGCCCTGCGCCCAGGGAGAGTGCTATACCTGGGGAGATGGGCCAGGCAGTCAGGTGGGAGCTGAGGCTGCCAGTGAAGCATCTAGGGGCACTCACCATCACCCAGAGAGCAGGCTGCTCCTTAGTAGTGGCAAAAAGTAGGGAATAGTACTAACAGCCAAGAGGGACAGCGTGCAGGAGGTAGAGTGTTCAGCCTGTTTTCACCTCCTTAAGTAGGCCTTTATCAGCAACTACTCAGGATCCCGGCTTTATAACCAGTGCCCCAAACCTAGAGATCCTTCAAAATACAAGTAGTAGTTGTGTAGGCCTTCCTAGTCCCTGAGATGGGTCCAGAGACAGTCATCTGAGCATTCCCTCCGCCCACTTCCAGTTGCTGCACCTTCTGCACAATCTGTGAGACAAGAACATCGTGGTTCCCATCCCACTTCTGTATCACAGAAAAGGCAGAGCCGACCCCCAAAGGCTTTAGTGGGGCCACAGGGCTATGTCTGGCTTTGCACTACCCCTCCACCCTCTCAGTGATATTTCATGGAAAAGGGAGGAGACACTGTCTGCTCATGCATGACAAGAATAATCAACAGTATCCAAGGGACACAACCCAAAGGAGACTAGGAGAAAAGCATGGCCACAAGAGAGATAGAAACCAAGGAAAGGGCCATTGGACCCAAAGGGAAGCCTCCCAGAGTAGGAAGGGGCTCTGAGAAGTCATCCAGTCCATCCGCCTACCTCCAGGCAGGACAGCTTTCTAGACACCGCAGACAGACAGATGAGCACGTTGCACCCTTAGAGAGAAAAGGCCTGAAGGAAGAGGTGAAGGGAATGCAAGGGGCAGCCAGGTTGGGTGGGAGCTGGTCTCCAAGCAGCTGAAGGGGCAGAGTGAAGAACTACAGGGAAACAGAAGGAGGGTAGGAGCTGGATCACCCAGTGAAGGCCATGGACCTGTATGAGATGTGCCCTGCTCAAGAGACCCAGGAGGAATGGCAGAGTGTGAGTGAGGAATGAAGGGGCCCCCCAGAGAGGGGTTAGGAGTGGGGAGAGCTGGAACCCCATGTGGGGTGAGTGCAGCTGAGACCATGTACTTACCCAGGACAGACCGCTGGGCAGAGTCAAGGAGACAGAGAGGACAGACCAGAGACAGACTGGCAGGCAGAAGGCAAGAGAGCTGAGCCTGGAAGCAAGAGTGGAGGGAGGAGCATGAGCACTCACCGCTGAACCTGAAACCTGCACTGAAGGGTAGGGTGGGAGGCAGGCGGGCAGAGCAAGAGCACACATACCGGAGCACAGACTGGCGCGCAGAGCGAGCGAGGCTGTTGGTGAAGGGGGCCGACAGAGCGCTGGGTGGCTGCAGGTCCTCGATGGACCTGCTCCAGGACCGGAGTTTGTCAAATGCACCATCGTCACCACTCTCCAGACCCTCAAAGTCAAACCTGGAGCATGAAAGGACACACGTGCACACACACAGGCACATACGCGGGAGAAATTCAGTGCCAAGGCCCCCTGCGAGCCTACCCCCAACCTTCAGGCCTCCAGGGCAACAAGAAGCAGGGGTAGCAAGGAGAAAAAGCAGAACTGGGCAGCAGAGACCTGATCCTAGCTGGAAGAGCCACTAACACAGAACAGTGGCAGAAGAAGCACAGGCAGCAACCAGGAGGGGAGTCTAAGGAGATGGGAAGCTGATGGAGGCCAACTCCTTTGCTCCCCACTGGCCAGGAAACTCCAGGAGGAGTGTCCTCCCCATGGGCCACTCAGGAGCTGGCAGTCTTTCTGCACTCTCAGCTTAGATGGAACATCTCTAGGAAGCTGTGGCCCCCCATGAAGAATCTGCCCCCGTAGAGGGAATGGTGGGGAATGGGCGAATTGCAGGTCTTGCTAGTTGGCAAATGCCAGCACCCAAAGGGCCTTTCAGTGCCTTGAAGGAGTCCAGTTGATTGTGGATGGCAGGACTGAATGGAAAGGAAAGGAGGTTCTGCCAAACCCAGAGTGGGACAGTCCTTTATTGTTTGGAGGAGCACCACTGCCCCATCTTAGCACTGGGCTTTAATGACCAGGTTCTCTATGGTTCTGGCTACTTGAGGTTTCTAGGTTTTTCAGGTATACAGGCTCCCTGGGCTTCAGTTGCCCTGGGGGAAGAAATTATAAGTTGAGATTGTGGACCAGGGTCCTGTAGTCTAGCCTCTGCAGGAGTTGAATGGTTTGTCACTTCCTGATCCTGGAACCAGATGTCTTCCACCATCAGCAATTATTATTATTTTTTTTTTAAGAGAAAGGGTTTCACTCTGTGGCCCAGGATGGAATGCAGTGGCACAGTCGTGGCTCACTGTAACCTCTAACTCCTGGGCTTAAGCAATCCTCCCGCCTCAGCCTCCCGAGTAGCTGGGACTATAGGTGGGTGTCACCATGCCTGACTAATTTTTTAAGATTTTCTTGTAGAGATGGAGTCTTGCTATGTTGTGCAGGCTGGTCTTAAAACTCCTGGGCTCAAGCAATCTCTCATCTTGGCCTCCCAAAGCTCTGGGATTACATGTGAGCCACTGCGCCCAGTCAACCATCAGCAGTTTGTCAGTGTGGCCAGGACAAGGAAGACGGCCAAGATCACAAACTCACAGAGACTCCTCTCTTATACATCCTCACTTCAGGATATACCCCTCTGAGAAACTGTCCCTCTCCTTCTTGTCCTCTTCCTCCATGTAGGTCATTAAAGACTAAGGGAGCATCTCCTACAGGTTCTTCTCCCCCAAGAAGCATTCTGCTCAGATATGGGGTCAAAGGCACAGAGGTTGAGGCTTTCTGGAATAGGAAGGGATATCTACAGATGTCAGAATATTCCAAAGGAAGTGGGAGCAGGCTTTAGTGTCCTCATGATCAGGAGGTGTTTAATGGGGCTCTCAAGTAGACATCAGAGGAATCTCCTGACAGGGAAACAGCTTGCTGACTCCATCAGCAACAACACCGTATCCTCTTGTACTGGTATATGCAGTTTACAAACAAGTATCTTCACTCAAACTCTATTTGGCCTCACCCTTTCCCTCTCAATCCTTCCCAAAACACACACTCTCTCCCCCACACAGAGTCCTTCTTTTTTTTTTTTTTTTTTTTTGAGACGGAGTCTCGCTCTGCCGCCCAGGCTGGAGTGCAATGGCCGGATCTCAGCTCACTGCAAGCTCCGCCTCCCGGGTTCACGCCATTCTCCTGCCTCAGGCGCCCGCCACCACGCCCGGCTAGTTTTTTGTATTTTTTTTAGTAGAGACGGGGTTTCACCGTGTTAGCCAGGATGGTCTCGATCTCCTGGCCTCATGATCCGCCCGTCTCGGCCTCCCAAAGTGCTGGGATTACAGGCTTGAGCCACCGCGCCCGGCCGAGTCCTTCTTTTTTAAAAACAGAGTCAAAGGTACTGCCATGGACACTAAAATACTGAGGTTCCAGGGTACTCTTGGTTTAGGGCGGCTGGAATTTGTTTGCTTTTCAAGTAAGAGAGATAGGCTTATTTGGAAAAATGAGCTACATTTTTTACTATAAAAGCTCTGAATTTTTAAGGAAAAATTATTTCACCAAATGTTTTTCATTTCTTTCTATAAAAAGAATTTTTTTAAGAGAGAGGACAATCACACGAGGTATGACTTCTGCTGAGACAAGAATGAAAGTGGGCCACTCTTGCCTTTAACAGAGGATAACCTGGAAAAGGTGAGAGAGGCACTGAACGTAGAAGAAGCATCAGTTCAAATTCCTAAGGAGATGACTCTGAAGACCTGCTGGAAAAAGAAGAATGGCCAAGGGGGCAAGGACAGTAGTTAGAAAAGTGGAAGCTGGTTGGGAGCAGTGGCTCACACCTGCAATCCCAGCACTTTGGAAGGCCGAGGCAAGCTGGATCGCTTGAGCCCGGGAGTTCAAGGCCAGCCTGGGCAGCATGGTGAAACCCCATCCCTACTAAAAACACACAAAAAGTTAGCTAAGCATGGTGGTGTACACCTGTGGTCCCAGCTACTCAGCAGGACTGAGGCAGGACTGAGGCAGGACTGAGGCAGGAGGACTGCTTGAGCCCAGGAAGTCAAGCCTGCAGTGAGCCGAGATTGTGCCACTGCACTCCAGCCTGGGCAACTGAGCAAGACCCTGTCTCAAAAAAATGTTAGGGCTGAGTCCTAGGATGGAGGAGTTTCCTGGGACGCTGGGGAAAACTAGGGACAGTCATGGGCAAACCGGGAAGACTGGTCTCCCTAATGCTGACCTGTCCTAGGTATAAGTCTAAATGTGTTGGTCATTATGTTTATTATGTAATTCCATATATTCAGGTAATTGTGGTAGGGTATGCCACTTTAAATAATAATAATGAAATTAACAGTAGATCTGCTACCACAATACAGACCTAGTATGTTCCAAACAATACTAAGTGTTTTAACACGTCATCATCTAATTTTCACAACAACCCTGGAATGTGGATCTCCTTTCATAGAAGAAGATTAAAAACTTGCTTTGAAGTCACACAGATAGTAAATAACAGAACTGAGACCCAAACTCAGCTTTGTCTGACTCAAGAGCTCTCATTCCTTCCACTATACCAGGCCACCTTTTCTGTGCTAACTCACTTCTGGCTGCCTCCAAGCCCCCATGCCTGCTAGAAAAAGACTCCTGAATACTTCATTTTTCTATCCAGGTCAAAAGGTCATGCTCACTGTTCCCGGGTTCTTCAGCAATGACCTGGAGTAATAACCCTCTCACGTCTGGAAACCCAAAGTTGCTTCTGGAAGACTCAACTCTGCAAAGATGAATGGATCCCACCAAGGCATCTCTACCAGAAGCCAGGACATTTCCCTGGATTGCTCACAGCTTGGCATTTGGATGCCTTGGCTTCTGATTCCAAGCTCCCTTTCCATCTCTCTCTCCTATTCTCCAAAATGCATCTTATCTTCTACTCCAGCCTAGTACCATTCTTCACTGATCCCCAGACATCTCTGGGCTTGCCTGCCTACTTCCACACCACTGCTTGGGCTACTCCCTCCTGTCCAGGATTCCCATTTCCATCTTCATTGTTGAACTCTCACCCTTCCTTATCAAAGCAGAATAGAACTATGTCCTCCCCCAACTGGTCCCCAACCTTAGCCCCGGGGTGGTACTCACATGACAGAACACTGGGCAAAGGACAGGTAATCCACCAGCACATCCAGGCCTTTGTTTTCATCATTCAGAAACTCCCGTACCCACCTGCAGATAAAGGAAACACAGTGGAAGGGGTCTGCTAAAGTGGGTCAAGGATCAGGAGGGTGACATGCCTCTGATCCAACACCTCCTCCTCCTGGAACCCAGCACCAGGCTAGGAAAATTCTGAAGATCAAAACCCATGACAGACCCATCCACGGTCATGGACTTCCCCTAGGCAGGGAAGCCAGGGATGGGGAAAGTACAGGCCCTTCTAATACCACTTGCTTTATCACGAAGGTGCTTTAGACAAACAAGCTCTCAAATACTCCCTCTTTAAGGGCCAGACCCTGGCTCAATTATTTTCTGCATCCCTCCACATGTCCTTGCTCAGTGTTTGTTGGAAGAATTTAGGAAGTATCAAGAGCATTTACCACAGGCCCGTGTGCAGAGTTGTGCTTGACCGAAGCCAGCAAGTCTCCAACCTGACTGAAGCCTGTCAAGACACCAGCAGGAAGACTCAAGGAGAGCTCTGGAACAGAAGTATCCTGGGGCAAAGCACTCTCTACCAAGTTTAAGAAGAGGAGTTTTGGAAAGCAGTGAGCAAACAGAGATGTATAGGAGTTCTGTATTTAGTCATGTTGAGTTTGTCAGAACCTGAAAAAGCATGGGGGTGATCAGGAACTCGAGGAACTCCAGGATGTCTATGACCACTCTGAGTCAACCTGAGGACGTGGGCCCCCCTTCAGCCAGGAAGGTAGACAACAAAGCACCTAGGGACCATATCCCAGGGCATTATTTTCCCTTCTGCTTTCAGTCCTTTTGGGCTGAGATATTCCTGGAATGAAAGTCAAGGGCAAATCTAGGGAACTGTTATATGACAGGTTCATTCCATAGCAGAAACATAAAACGCTCAGGATGAAACCCTAATCTAGAGTGCTCTACTCCTTCAGAATTTCTGGGGGTCTTTATAGGAAAGCTCTGCCCAAACTGCCGTGCGGGGCCTCTTCTCCCCAACAGCTGGAAAACCAGCGCCATGTTGGCCAGCCACACCCCAAGCTACGGAGAGACTCTGGAGCTACAACACCAGGCCCAGCTGAGATTTGGCAGCAGGCTCTGGCTGAAGCTGACTGACACCGGAGCTGCCTGAAGTTAGCTTCCTCTCTGGGGGCCAACAGGCCTCCCGTTTCCTGTCTGTCTGCTCTCCAGCTCCCCACCCCCTTCTCATTTCCTGTCTGAGTCTATACTGCTATTTCGGGATCTTGACACTTTGAGGAGAGGTTAAAGGGTGCTTAGGCAAGGCACAGAAACCAATACAAACCAGGGAAAGAGGAGCTGGAGAGGCTCCGGAATCCCACTTCCCAGCCTGTCCCTCTCCAGAACCTGAGTTCCCATCTGCTGCTCCTGCACACCCAACTTCTGCAAGCCCTGGGGCTGATCAGGTTGTGACCAAAGCAGGATCCTCCTCTCCCCACCTTGCCCTGGGTTCCTTCCACCCTGAAGCACCCACAATCTGACAAACACTTCCCAGAAATCCAGGAAGGATCCTTCCACATAACTCTACCCAGAGAAGCTGCAGTTCAGATGGCAGGCATGCCTAAAATGCCAGGCACTGAGCTATTCCCTGGGAACAAAGGACCACGTCCAGGACCTCTAACTTGTGTGCCAACTGCCAAGAGGCCCCAGGCCTGGGAACCACGCTGCTTTGGACCTAGCTCCTGGCCAGCAGCCAGAGGAGCAGGCACCAGGTAGAGGGGGCAGGCAGCAGGGACTGTCATAAACTGCTCTGTGGCCTTCTCCCAATGAAAGCACACCCCCGTCCTCAGATGACTACAGCAAGACTTAATCAAGAAAACAAGGCTGGGTACTAGTGGCTCCACTTTGGGATTCTTAAGGAGGATCACTTGAGCCTAGGAGTTCAAGACTAGCCTAGGCAACAAGGCTAGACTCTGTCTCTACTAAAAAAAATTTTTTTAATGGACAGGCAGGCCAGGCACAGTGGCTCACGTCTATAATCTCAGCACTTTGGAAGGCCAAAACAGGCAGATCACTTGAGCCCACGAGTTTGAGACCAGCCTGGCCAACATGGCAAAACCCTGTCTCTACTAAACATACAAACATTAGCTGGGTGTGGTGGCACACGCCTGTAGTCCCAGTTATTCAGGAGGCAAAGGCAGAATGGCTTGAGCCTGGGAGGCAGAGGTTGCAGTGAGCCGAGATCACGCCTGGGCGACAGAGCTAGACTCCGTCTCAAAATATAAATAAATAAATAAATAAATAAATAAATAAATAAATAAATAAAATAAAATGGGCAGGCATGGGTGTGTGCCTGTGTTCCCAGCTACTTGGGAGGCTGAGATAGGAGGATCACTTGAACCCTGGAAGCTGAAGCTTCTGTGAGTCATGATCACATCACTGTACTTCATCCTGGGCAACAGAGCAAGACCCTGTCTTTAAAAACAAACAAAAAGAAGACAGAAGGGCTGAGAGTGACAGAAGGGACTATGGAGGAATGCAGAGTGGTAGGTGGCTTCGGGTGGCAGGTAGCACTCAGGGTTGCCACTGGTGTCATTCTTGCCCTCACACACAAGGGTACCAAGCAGCCCCTTCACTTTGTCCTTCCATGAAGGATTCACCAAACAAAGGAAGAGGCTTGGCCACACCTTTCTCAGTGGCTTGGCTTTCAATGTCTGATTCACAGATGAGTTACAGAAGCCATACTCGGGCCACCAGAGCACAGTTACTGAGGCCAGGAACCATCCCTTTCCTGTTCTCTCCTGTGCTGTTTCCCTTGTGATTGCTGCTACAACTGGCTACACACACAGGTGTCCTCTCCCTCTAAAGAACCCCGGGAAGGCTTGCCCTGGGGGTGGATGAGGGCTGCTGCTACAACAGGAGGGGAAAGGCTGATGATGTCATTTGGCTGTCTCTACCCCACTGTCAGGAAGCCTGGGTACCCCACCCCCACCCGGGCCTCCACTGCTCACTCATAAGCACTGGACATTTGTGCCAGGCCCTCCATCAGGTCTGTAACCCCGCCTGCAGTTCTACATCACATGTCCCTCACTGTCCTTTTGCATGAGCACACATACGCACACATATACACACTTTCTCTCTCTCTCTCTCACTTTCACATATCTTTGCTGATTACAGTTTCGTAACACTGAGGCCAATACCCTCTTTCACTGTACCTCACACATTAGCCTTTTGCTTGTTCAGCAATTCCTGGTTTCCCACTCAGGGACCGGAAAAAAAAAGACTCACACAGTTCCTAAGGGCCCTGTCAATGGGTTGGCAGCACCACGGTCTGTGAATATAGAAAACATTCAGCTCCTGGCCCCCATTGCCTTACATCTTTCCTGGTGCTTAAGGAAGCTGCTTCTGCTCATGAACTAAGATTATCTTCTCCCAGGCACCAAAAAGTCCAAATAGTCACAGAACAGGAAGTAGGTCTCAGCTACCCAATACAGTATGTTCCCCCCACCCTCAGCCTTCTCTGGGCCTCGCTTGGCCCAGCACCAGGCCACAGGCAGACTCCAGTCTCAACTGCTGTGGGAATGTCTTCCACTCAAAGCCACAGGCGGAGGACCCCAGGAGAGGCCTCAAGCTTGCCAGAAACATCTAGTCAGCAGCTGGCAGAGCTGAGGGGGCAGAAAAGTCAGAAAAGAGACAGTCCAAAGCTCTGGGGAGCCAGAAGCCATTCAAGGGGCAACTCTGCCTCATGGCAGGGAAGATGAACAGGAACACCATCCCCAGAGGACAGCAGATCCTGTGTGCCCAGCCAACAGCCTGGAGCCAGGTGAAGAGGCTACTGCGGCCAATCCAACTCACCCAATGTGGTTGGTGCGAAGAGAGATCTCCAGCTCCCTTAGTACTTTGGTTGACTCCTGCACCCTCCTCCTGAACTTCTGTAAAAAAGGGTAGAGAAGGAGAAGAATACAAGAGGGCAGTTATAGATTTTCCCTCCATTACTGGCCAGCCATTCCAGGCCCCTGGCCACAGAACCCTGAAATCCAGCTCCCAAGGCTCAGAAACAGATGTCCAATATCCAAGTCAAAGGGTTTGCCCCCAAACCCCACAGGACTATAAAGGCTGGCAAGATGGGGCCTCTCTGCCTCATACTTCACCTTCCGAGTTACGCTGGGGTCCAAGAAGCTCTGGAGTTTCTGAATGTAAGTGTGGGGAGGATTCTTCACCTGGAATCGTTCCTGTAAGGGAAACATGCATATGCGTATCCACAAAGACAACCAGAGACCTGAGGAGGGCACTGAGGAAGAAGAGCACTCATAGTGTTCAGTGTGAGGGGACTCAGCCTCTTCAAGTTGTCACCTGGCTCTAGACATCACTTAAACTTGAGGTTACCTTCCTTGACTTATCCCCAGGTGTTGCCATCTGTTGCCATCTCCTCCTCCTCCAATTAGTGCTCCCTGAGCCTAAAATGTTTTTCTATGTCAAAAAGTATTTTTAAAGTGTGCTGCTTGCTACAAAGATATTGAGGATTACAGAGTTGTGAACAGCACCCAAAACAAAGACATAATTGATTGGGCTTAGGAGGCCAAGGCAGGAAGACTGCTTGAGGCCAGGAGTTTCAGAATAGTCTGGATAACACAGAAAGACTCTGTCTCTACAAAAAAACTTTAAAAAATTAGCCAGGCATGGTGGTTACCACATGCCTGTAGCCCTGGTTACTTAGGCTGAGGTGGGAGGATCCCTTGAGCCCAGGAGTTTGAGGCTACAGTAAGATAGGATCATGCCATTGCACTCTAGCCTGGGCAACAGAGTGTGATCCCTCTCTAAGAAAAGAAAGAAAAAAAAGATATGATTGGGAAATGCTGTTCACTGCCTGGCCAACTAATGGATATGGGTTAGGAATGCCAAGGGGAGAGGAGCTTGGCCTTGTAGAATCCAACTTTCTCAGCAATGAACTCTGCGGTTGGGACTGGAATGGTTTTGCTGAGCTGACACAGCTCAGGGCTGCAAACACTGCTCCTTGCCCAGACCCCAGCAATCCAAAGCAACCTCAAATACTGAAGGCTGCGTTCAGCAAGGTCATCCCTCGATTCCCTTCTACACAGAGCCTGGGACCACGCCCTACTTTGGCCCAACCCCTTCATCTGACCCAAAAAGAAACTCAGGGAGTACCCCTTTGCATTCTGGTCCTATTAGGGCTGCCACCACCAAGATATCTGAAGAGCTGGATATCTGAAGAGTGGAGGGGCTGAAAAATGTCCAGGAGAATGATATAATGTTAGAGAATAGGACCTAAAAACAAATAGAAGAAAAAAACGAAAGGTCTGAGAAACAGCTGAAATTGACCTAGAAAAGACTGAGAGATCATCAATTAAAGAACCTCAATACCAAAGGGTTACTATTCTCCAAACCCCAAGCAGGTGCTAACCAACTCCTCTTAACGCAGAACACAAGGAAATTGACCTTTGGTGGAGAAGGGACTTGGACTAAGATCCCTGAAGCATACTCCTAGCTTATGTCAAGCAGCATGACCTGGGGAGGCAGTGGAACAGAACAGTTAGCACAGACTTGGCATCTGCTTGCTGGAGCTCAGCCCTGGCTTCATCACTTACTAGCATTAGGCAAGTTACTGAGCCTTGGGTTCTTCATTTGTAAAATGCCAACACTGCCTTCCTCAGAGGGTTCTGTGATGACTAAATGAGGTATTTCAGTGTGTTGAGTACTTGGTCCATAACAAGCACTCAATAAACATTACCTATTATTATTTCACCCAGAGCCTGAAAAGAAATAATAAAACTGTACATGGCAAAGTGCTGGGTAAACACACTACCCACACTGCCAGATACTTCCATCTCTACCAAGATGTAAAAAGGTAAAAGGTAACTCTCCCAGCCCTGCATACAGGCCTGTCTGAGTTCACGGACTCGTGACTCATGATCTTCAAATGCATGCAAGGGAAAGAGCCAGGTCATATGTGTTAGAAGATTCTCAACTCTGAGCAAAGTAATGATTTCTATTCTCTTCTAGCTTTCAACACAGTTCATGTAGGGAGAGTTTTCAGACCTTGACTCTTCTGAGATTTTGGAACAAAAGACTAGAGCCTGGGGCTTCTCATTCCTAGAGGCCCCGAGATAATGAGAAAGACCCTGCTATTTGCCAGGGCTAAGACAGAGTGAGAGATCAACAGTCCTTTGAGCACCCTGCCAGGCATAGCCCTGAACCTGCACAGCCAATCCTATACCCCTGATCTATACAAACCCCCTTATACTATTGCCCATTGGAAGAAATCAAGACAGCTCTTTGTGGGAGCTAGAGGAGAACTTGGCCTGCTAGCTCTGTCTCTGTTACGAGAATCTTCTTGGAAAAGAAAGTGAACACAGATGAGGCCAAGCTTAGGCCAGGGTTCCTCAAGGGACCCAGAGCTGCACTCAATGTCTCTGGCCCCACAGCCTTAGCTAGCCCAAGGCACAACTCCCCACCTCCCTCCTCTTTCCGAAACCTCATACCTGGTCACAGATCAAATCCCACTTCTTCTCATTGTCATACTGCCGCAGAAGCCGGGCCTTGTCTGGAGGCAGGTTCATGGAGCTCTGAGGAGAGAACCTGAGTCAACAAGGCTGAAACCTCCCCTCATCTGGAAAAGAGAAAGACTAGACCGCCCACACCTTTCCGCTACTGGGCCCTCAGACTTCACCCTGACACTCCATCGCTGATAAGGCAAGCTTGGAAAAGTGGAGTAGTCCTCCAGCCTCCCCTTCATATTTAGTTGAGTTTGGTTGAGCAATGTTTTCCAAACCTCTGGTCGTAGAATCAGTTTAATGAGTCAAAATTAACTCTATTTTAAATGAAAACGAGCAGATTAAAATAGAATAGAAGATACCAGAATTCATTGCAAATAGGAAGTATAAATAATGCTTTGTGAAGCTTTAGTTTCTTTTATATTTTACGTATATACACAAATGTGTCATATACATACATCATACCATAAAATGTGATGGGAACATGAGACGGGTCAAAAAATTTGAAAAGCCACCAGGTTAAAGCAGCAATTTTTTTCTGTTTGCTTTTCCCCCACAACCTGAGAGACAGGTAACTTGCCTACAACACCCACTCCCATGGGAGAATCCTGAGCCACCCACAACCTATGTAGATGCTATAACTGTGACCCTCTTGCCCATATCAGCATACAAGTGAATGAGAAGAACATTAGCATGAAGATAACTGCTAAAATTTTTTTAGGAAAAAAATATTTAGGCAAAAATTCACAAAAGTACCAGACTTTAATTGTTAGTAGCAAATTACTAATGACACATCTCCCAATTAATTAAGACACCGCAAAGCACCCTAACCCCTTGGCAAGCCACTCTAATATAGGCTATTTGAAGGACAGCCCAGGAATCATTTTATTTTGTTCACCACTGTTTGGTGACTGAATAAGGTATGAGAGAATGAGTGGGTGAAGCCTAAGGACTTCATCCATGGACTAGCCCTACCCATGCTAGAGGCTACGTTCCCTACCTTTATCCCCATTCAGCCAAACCTTTCTTCTCATCAGTCTGGCTGTCTTTGTTCCAGGTCACAGCCCTTACCTCTAAAGGCAGTCTGGGCCAGATGCAGTAGCTCATACCTGTAATCGCAGCACTTTGGGAGGCCAAGGCAGGCAGATCACTTGAGGCCAGGAGTTCAAGACCAACCTGGCCAACATAGCAAAATCCCGTCTCTACCAAAAATACAAAAATTAGCTGGGCGCAGTAGTGCACACCTGTAATCCCAGCTACTCAGGTTGCCAAGGCACAAGAATTGCTTGAACCTAGGAGGTGGAGGCTGCAGTGAGCCAAGATCACGCCACTGCACTCCAGCCTAAGCAACAGAGAAATATTCCATCTCAAAAAAAACAAAACACACAAACAAAAAAGACTAAAGGCAGTCTGACACTTTAATCAGATCACTGTACCTGCTCCCTTGTAATCTTGAATCAAATATGATCCCCTACCCGAGGTGTTGCAGCTGCATGATAACCCATGTGACTTCCCACAAATTCAGCTTCTTCCCGAGCATAGTGCCAGCCACCTAGAAGGCTGCCTCTCATCCTTCTCTCCTTTAGCTACTGTCCAAGTTCAGCTCTAACTCTCTGGTAACCCAAGCATGACCACTCATTTACCTCTGCCCAGTTATTGGCATTCTCATCCCTGGGGACACGAACTGTGTGCATCCAGGGTCCCTGAGGAGTCACATAGGCCCTGCATTATTCCAGAAGAAGCAAACAAATCCTAGAAGGAGGTCCTCCAACTTTTGATGGAATCAAAAGAAAATCCTTAAACATTTATTCTGTCACACTATTTATTATAAACATAACGCAGATATACTCTTAAATCAGCTGTATACTCATCTAGCCCCTAAAGTGCTATGTCTATTCTTACCATCTCCAGCTCCCAGCATGCATCTAGTGGGGGCAGTAAGGTGATAATAAACCATGTGTAAGAGGTCCCAGGTCTGAGCTACAAGCCCAGCTACTAGCTGGAAATGAGGTCACTATGGCTCAAAAAGGAAGTAGGGTTGAAGTCTTCGGTTGGAATTTATACATGGAAGAATTTATAAAGTGGGGCAGGTGAGAGAAGAAAGTGGGGCAGGTGAGAGAAACAAAGAAGGGGAAGAGAGCCCCACATCACACCTCTCCCTATGGTTCCTGCTGCCCCATGCATCTGCCTGAACTTCCACAGGAAAGTGAGGCTGAGTCCTCACAGTCTATGTAGTATGGATGGCAAGATGGTCAAACACAAGCCTGGAATGTTCTCTCTGAAACTACTTTGTTAAGGGTCAATCTCAGCATATCCGTGTGGACAGCAGGATAGGAGCAAGAGGCCTCAACAAAACAAGGACTCAAAGGTCAACCCAGAGCAGGTCTCCTAACTCAGCCTAACTGGGGCCAGGCTGCTGCCAGCTGAACTCAAGACAGAACTGAGCAGAAACAGTCCTCAGGACTGGTCCTGGCTCTGTGCATATCCTAAACACATCGCTGCCATCTGACCATTTCTCCTAAGTCTGTGCCATGAAAATAGTTCTGTTGTCTCCCCTGGAAGAAAGCTGCTGGAATGGGGGAGGGGGCAGCCTGGCACTGCTGTGGCAGACATCGCATCCTGTCTATGCCAACTTCCTCCCTCAGCCACCCACTGGCAGCTGCTGTGGCTTACACTTCTCCACCAGGTGAACTGAGGAGGAAACACTTGGTCCCCTCGGTTTGAAAAACTGGGCAAAGTCACTCCCTTGGGTAGTCCTAGCCTAAGAGCATGGAAGAGGCACAGCAGAGACCCGGTCAAACTCTAGATCCCCAGGAAGGAGTGATCCCAAATTATGGAAACAGGTGGTAGAGGCATGAATCTGCTCTGACCACAGCCACATCCTCCTGTTTAGAGCTTTGGGTGGCACTTTCTTGACAGTGGTCTCAGACTTCTCTGCTTCTTCTGGGCTGAAGTGTGATGGGGAAGGAGATGGGTAAGGGGAATTTCCCCAAGCTCCAGCATTCTCAGAAGAAACGGGTCACTGGCTGCCAGTGGGAGCCACCTGCCAAGGGGGCATAAACCAGAGCCTGGCCCGGACAGTTGTCTTCCTGCTAGACAAGGGCATCAGGGCTTTTGCCTCCACCTGATAATGTGTGTGAGTCTGGCAGGGCTCCAATGTCCTGAGGAAGCCACTCTGCCCTTAGGAATGACAACTTCCTGAGTTCCGGGGACAGCAAAGGAGCAAACTTGACACAGTTCCGGTCTCAGTCAAAAGGGTTTGTTTCCTTGATATTTTTTCTTCAGTGGTTCCACAGAGACTGTAGGCTCCAAGAAGGCAGAAGCTGAGTTAAGTTCTTGCTAACTCCTCATTGAGACCCTTGCTGAGCAGAAAGGAGGCAGTGGCTGTCTTGGAAAGGAGAGGGCACTAAATGTGGGTGAAGTCAGAGGGCCCAAGATCAACTTTGGGCTCTTCAGAGTTATGGAGCCTTGGTGAACGCATCCATAAACTGGAGATAATCTCACTACTTCACAGGGTTTTAACTGAGGATTAAATGATAAATATTTTATGTCTGTATGTGTCTGGAACACTGTGGGTGTTCAACACAGTCCCCGCCCCACTTCCTCCTGAAAATCTTGTGTAATGTTCTGATGTCTGAGGGACCTGCCCTTTTGCTTCTAGGCTGTCTCTCTCTCTCTGCCTCCATCCCACCTTCAGCAATTGCTTCTCAACATTCTGCCTACAGAGCAATCCATTATCCTTTCACCGATAACTGCTCTGGCTTCCTCTAAGACTAGGTGCCAATTTAAATATCATTATCCTGAGGGGTGGGGGACATGGCAAGAGACTCCAAGGAAGAAGTAAGGGAGGTAAGTCACAGCCAAAACAGTTACAATAGGAGATGTGAGGAAAAGTGGAAGATGAATTCAAACTGAAAGCAACTCTGGGAGTGATTCCTAAATCACAGGGAACCAGCAAAACGTCTAATAATAAAAACCTATAACGGGAAGAAGCCTAAAGGCATGGAGCTGGTGCTTCTCCAGCAAGGCTCCTCTGGTTTTACTGCCAGTTTGAGGCCAGGCAAATCTCCCTGCACACTGAGGTGCATGTGAGCAAGGGCCCGGTTCCTCCAGCAAGGTTTCCTAACTCTCCACCTGACCCCTGACAGCCCCAGTCAAGCCAAGGAGGAGGGAGGCAGCTCTGGTGGCAGAGGTTCCCTTCCCTTTCCCGATCTGCACCCTCAGCCCAGTGAGCCCCTCCTCGTTTCCTTCCCACTGCAGGGGAAGGGAAATGCCGGTCGGGTTTGGAGTTTCCTTCAATGCTGTGAGCTCTGCTCTGGGACTCGCCCCTACTCTGACAGTCTTCTTGAGCCAGGCCTGGGGAAAACCCAACAAACAGAAATAGGAACTACCAAAAATTCCCAACTGTTTTTGTTGGTCCCAATCATGATATATCTTAGGAACAGAGACCAAAATGGCACAGCTTCGAGAGACAGGGAGAGAGACGTTTGTAACGTTCCTGAGAAAGAAACTGGAGGCTTTAGGGAAGCTCTAGCAGGGACTGTTTGTTTTGAGAAAATACAGAAAGTGAGAGGTAGTTTTATTAATGTTTTCCCTCTTGAACCACCTCCCACCAGGTTTCCTATGGCTGTCTTCTCCAAGTATGGTAGCCTCACCCCCATGCTCAGCCCATGGGGACAGGGAGTCCTGAGAAACTGAATCTGAAACTGCCCCACAGATTAAATGAATGCCGTCCTGGGCACCACACACTTCTCAATGTGCTGCTGAGCCCCTGACCGCAGGTCCAAGTCCTCCCTGGCATCCACAAATCAGCCCATTGAGCAGATGAGCAGAGATGGAAAGTGGCAAGAGGACACAAAATTTGGAAGTCCAGAAGACTGCTGAAGGAGGAGCTGTAACACTGTGCTCCCACCCCATGTTCCCATGTTCCCACTAGGATCCCCCTCACAAACCAACAGATCTGCCCCAAGCCAATGGCAAAGCAGGCAACACAAGGCACAAAGGCCCATTACTAGCTGCCAAAAGGACAGAGTGTAAGGAACAGCCTCCACATGTCTCTACTGGTGGGCAGT